TTTTTGTCATGCCCGTGACCTTGAAACCCTTTAAGGGAGCGACAAAATGGTGATCATTTTTTGTGAAATAGTTTTTAAAATCCGACTTTCAAATATTGGGAAATTAAGGAACCCGGGCACGGGTTTTTCTGCAAGGTCAGCTTTTGACCTTTACCTTTTAAGGTAGCGACCCAAATGTTTCGCGGGCCAAAACGTCTTTCCCAAAATGGGTTTATTTTTTTGTGAAATTTAAATTTTTAAAAACCGACTCCAGATAAAAAATTAATTTTGGGCCGGGAAAAACCGGGGAAATTCGGGGCGTACGGACGGACTGACGGACGGCCCAACCCCACGGGCTTTTAAAGGGTCCCCCGAAATTTTTCGGGGCAAAAAATGTTTCCCTTGATAAAAAAATTTCCCAAAAACGTTAAAAGATACATTAACCCCCTTACTTCAAAATGGATGTTTTTTATGGCTTCCCCCCTTTCCCCCCAACCCCCACTTTTGGGGGCCCCAAATACTGGGAAAAATGCCATAATTTTGCAGAAACCCCCTGCAAAAATGTTTTCCGTTAAAAAAGATCACTTTTTTCGGCCCATCATCCCCTCAAAAAGGGTACATAGGGATGTGCCCCCTTCTGCTTGGGGGTTTGAAGGGGGTTTAGCAGAGCTCCTTCATCACCAAAAAAAAATATTTGGCTTTTGAGAGGCTAAAACTGGCCTCAGGTCGACCCTTAAGGGGGACTTTTTAACCAACGCCCGAAAAAGCCTTTGAAGTTATGTACATCATTTAAAAAAAACAGTTTTTAGTTTTTTTTTCAGATCTTTTTCGGGAAAAAAAAACACGGACGTTGTTTTCAAGAATGAAATTTTTTGTCTTTGATTAAAAAAAGTTGATTTGGGAAAAATTATTTGATGGGAAGGGAGTAATCAAATGAAAAAAAAGGGAAAATTTCAGGGATGTACCTTTTTTAAACCAAAATAATTATATTTTAAACATGCCCATTTAAACATACGCAAAACACAAGCCCCCCAAAGTGAAAGAAAAAAAGCAAAAAACATCCGATGAAAGACTAGCGAAGTACGCTTTGCGGAAAGGTATGGTCACAATTTAAAATCAAAGAAAAAGTTTTTCTTTTGTCATTAAATTTTTACATTTTAAATTTTTAACATCACTTTCCTAGAAAAAAATAGACCCGGGACCTTTTAAGGCCCAACACCAAACTAAGTTGCAATGCTATGGTAATTGGGGGATAACTCTGGGCCCCATTTTTAAAATTTTTTTTTTGACATCAGTCCCGAAAATAAAAAATTATATAAAAAATAAGCCCAGCCCATTTTTTGGAAATTTTTTTAATTGCTATTTTTCATTTTTTTTCAAAATGTGAACTCTACCCGTAAAAACTTACAAGTCTTGAATCAAGATGCGATATTTATTTATTATTTTTGTTTTTGGGTTTCCATTACGATTAAATTATTAAACGCAATGGGTTTTGGGAAATTTTCCCCTTTTTCTTACTAACCCATTATATACTCGGTATACAGTACACTTTGAACAATAAGGGATTTGAAAAAAGTATTGAAGATTTTATATAGCCAAATACGTTTTTTCATTTTATTTATATAGGAAAAAAATTTGCTCTATAGTGGTTGAGTTTTTTTTTTGCCCTTGTATTTTTATCAATTTAGGTTTTTTTTACCAAAAGGGTCCAATGGGGCCCGTGGGGAACGAGCATTTCCCCGTACCCAAAAAAAAAAGAATCAATAAAAAAAAAATAAAAGAGCGTTGTAGGGTATATGTTTAACCATCGGGTATTTTGGACCGCACTTTCCCTTATAACGTTTAGATAGTATAATTCCATTAAGTATTTCAATTACAAAATAAAAGCAAAAAAGTCCCTTTTGTCGCTGGGTTCCACCGCAGTGCCTGTACATTAAGTAAATGCTATTATTTTTTGCATGATGCTGGAAAATTGGGAAAAGAATCAATGCACTGTTTTATTAATAAGCTTAAGAAAAAATAGCCAATAGTTAAATCATAACTGTTTATGAATATATTTTGTAGAATTTAAAACTATAAATTAGGATGAAAAAAATCCGCTGATCAACATGGTGAGCATATTTTTAGTTGTAATACTAACTTGAATTCAATCATAAAATGTGGTTCCCCAAAACTCCCCAAAACCAAATTCTTATTGATTAGGTTTTTGGGGGACACGTGAATACTCAAATGTTTAAATTTTGTTTTTAGATATTAATAGCCAAACGTATCATAACTCAGTGAAGTTGTAATTTATGTATTCAGATATGTTTAAAAAAAAAAGCAAACAAAAAACATCCTAAAACAAATTTATAGAAAGGGATTAAAACAATTGACCCGGCCTTAAAGCGCGTAAAAACTGAAAAGGGAACCCCGACTCCTTAGAGATTCCGACCAGTTTATTGTGTGACAATAATCTTGCAGATATTGGATACTTAGCATTACACTTTACATGCTTCCCTGCAATATTCCTTTTCTTATTAAAGATGCCTATATAATTGCATGTACCAGCACGTTTAAAGCATAGCAACAATCTATGGTACATAGTACAAATAAAATAAGACAAGGGGAAACCAGTAATTGCTGATTGACGTTTATTGCCCAAGATAAGCTTTATCCTGTCATTGTATCAATTTCGGCCCGATAACAAGGTGCCCGATAATATTTACTGATTCTACGGCACTTGGATCAAGTGGTATGCATGTTTGCCGGACTACTTTTCAAGAAAAAAAATAAAAAACCCTGTCGTTAAATCTTCTGTGGTGTAGAATAATCGGGAATTTTTTGGAAATGTTGATAAAACTTTGTTTGTTTATTTTATTTCACTCTAAATAATTTTCAAGCCCGAAATAAAATTATTAAAAGTGAAATAAATGTAAAACTTAACTCGTTTTCGACTTAAGATAGCGTACTTTATCTGATTGTTTTGCACGGCTGTTTTGGCGCTACATCTGACGTCACGTAACAATACTTTAAAACGGTCTGTACAGCGTTAACGACTGAATAAAAGCTATTGGTGTTTCGAATTCATTTTCTTAGTTAGACCTTTCCTTTCATTTAGTAGTTTTTTTTCACAACATACATTCGACAAAAAATTGTATTTATTTATACACTTTTTCAAACAAAATGGCGCCTTAATGTGAAAATACGCAGGGAGATAATTAAGACGGCAAGTGCATTGTTTGTTAGAATAATGCACACTTCGGGCCTTTTTTGTTTATATCTACTGTGAATAAGGTAGTTTGCCTAATAAAATTCTTTTTGAAAAAAAACGGTGACGGGATAAATAGAAATAATAGATTGTGCCGGTGGATGGAGAAAGTTTATCTGGCTCTGCTCCGGAATTTATTGGGGTTCGCCTGAGGCTCACCCAAATAAATTCCTCCGCCTCGCCAGATAAAACTTTCTCATCCACGGCACCAAAACCTATTATTCTCTATCAATTAATGCACTTTTTTTCATGCATTAATACATCTGCAGAAGCCCTCAAGACATTTTAAATCCCTCACACTGTGCTGTCTCAGACCTTTGACTGTGTCTCTTCATGCTTCTGAAGATGTAATACATAAAGAAAGGGGCATTAACCCTCTTAAAAGTACTTAATCGAAATGAACAGATAATCAGACCTTTGACTCACATACTGCTATAGATCTATATATAAGCATCATAAATAGTATTATATTTGTTTAGACTTGTTACTTTTAAAGAAAATTGAATGAAATTGAACTGTGCAAAATTAGATTTACTCCTCTATGTTTTGTTACAAATTTTTTACACTAAATTAGATTTGTCCCAAAAATGCCCTTCTTTCTGTCCATAAATACCGACGTGTCCCAAAACTGCCTCTCATGCTCTTCTGTTTAACAAGGTATATTGCGTTTTGTTTTGTATATGACTTATGATAGTGCCCATTATAGACGATAGTCATTACAGAGCTTATCCTAAAGTATCCAATGCCACTACAGAAATAAGCATATTTAAAATCACAGTAACAAATATGCCTTAGATGTCCCAATATACCCGACATCGCTCTATATAAATACAATAAAAAATATAATCAAAGATAATTAATGAAATAAAATTTACTCATTTAATCAAAATGTACATCCGCTATATGAATTATGCCCTTGTAACCATGCGATTGTAGCGAATAGTTAATCAGCAATAAAATGAAATGACGTCATAATATATGTTGCAAATGACATCATCGATGTTCACGTCATATTATACATGTAAACATAACAAACATGCTAGACGATTTTCTTTGAGAACTTGTAGATTCTAAATGTTTACTTTATTTCGCCAGGTTATTATTTAATAAGTGAACATTAAGAACCATGTTTGTGTACAGTAGCTTTGTTTGATTGCCGAATTTGATTTTATTTTGATTGAAATTATCTTGACTTTGAATTTGAAAAAGGAAAAAAGTGCAGTAAAGTTTATGTGATTCTTAGGGATTTTTTGATCGATGTTTAAAGGTAAGAATCTTATCGTGTTATATTCTGTTCAACTGCTGTATCTATTATCACAGGAAATAATCACAGGAACTTGAAAATCTATCAATAATAATGATAATATCCAAAATATACCCCCTATACAGTACAGTACTTATAAATAAACTTGTACTGTCACCATCGTATTGTCATACTGTCACCATCGTACTGTCGTACTGTCATCATCGTACTGTCGCAGTTTCAACATCGCACTGTCATGTTTCTCCATCGTACTGTCGTATTGTCACCATCATACTGTCGTACTGTCACCATCGTATTGTTGTTCTGTCACTGTCGTACTGTCACCATCGACCCTAACGGAACACCGTGCTATTTATGTTTTGCCATGTTTATCGTTAAGACTTGTACAATATGTTCTAATGTTAAATGAAATAAAATTTAACGATTTAGAAATAAAAGATGCATGCTATACCGATTCAGCTGTTATACTTTTAAAAGTTTTATCACGTCAGTAACGCTGTGATGACGTCATAATATTAATTTAACTTTCTGACGTAACTAATCATAGAAACGACGTTCCGCAACATTAGATATCAACACGTAACGGTATGTAGATGCGTTTTTTATTATCAATAAGAATTTCTTTATTAAGATGTTTTACCGAAAGTTATGGTCAGTAAAGATATTCAAAATGTTACAAAACTTAATTAAGTTTAAATGATCATTTTATTTATTTATTTACTTTAGCTCGTTTGTACTAAAAGCTTAAACACAACGAATTCCATCCATTTTCAATCCGCTTTCTCGCAAAATGGTTATGACTACAGTATGACTTGGACCCACTATCTCTTTATAGATTTAGAAAGAGACATGGTAACAACAAAGTATCCTGCCACTCTCAAATTGTGTGAATTGATTTAATTTCTGAACAAAGATGATCGAAAATCTTGAATAAATTGTTGTTTTTGTTGCTTTTTTTTGTTTTGTTTTTGTTTTTTAATTTTTGTGTAATGTATGAAAATCTTGTTACAGTGAATAATGAATAGATTAACAAGAAACGATTACAAAGCTCATTCAAGAATGGACAAAGTTTGTTCATCAAAAAGGACAAAGTCGATATATGGCGCACATGGACGTCAAGATTCGCAAAGAAAATTGTCAAACCGCAGAAAAGGTAAGATTTTTAAGAATTCTGATTACTTATTTTATTACATTCTCATAAGATTTATTATAATATTATAACGGGTATTTAAGTCCATTTGAATCATGAATTAATCATGGACAGTGATATCTGTAACTTTGAATACTAGCTAACTTTTAAAAAGACTCTGACTGTTTCCAGTTGATTTCAATGTAAGTAAACCTTTTTTTTTGTCATGAAACCCTTTACACGACGATCTTATCTCAATACAGCTTACGGAATGTTAGTTGTAATGGCTAAAGTAGTAATCACGTCTTAAGTTAATTTACAATTATAATGTTATGTGGAGAGAATATAGTCAATCGCAATTTTCCGGCCGTTTTTGTCAAACTTCATTTAATCACAGAGGTGTTCCGTTTGGAACATTGCACCATCACAAGTTGTTTATGCTTCTTTTTCCTTATATTATCAGCTGATGATAAGACCACACAGAAGAAAAGGCGAAGTAAGAGCGCTTTACCACCACAAAGTCATAGGAGGGCGATGCCACAAAAACATGGTCAAGTTGGACAGCGCAAAAGACGCGCAACCGCACATAAGAGTTCTAGAGCTGAAATAAGAAACCAGTCTGCTTATGGTAAAGTAATCCTTAACAAACTGTCTTATAATTTATGCATGTACTGGTAACTACAACAAATCAAGAAGTCACAAAAATGTTTTAAAAATATGACATCAAAGACAACCTCTTACAACTGCTAGTATAAATCATTTGTTTTGAAAATGATAGTGACTTATTATAAAACTGTTTTGCAAAGCCTGGCAATGTAATGATATTTTATTATCGAACCTTATTTTAAAGCTATTACAAATGGAAAAAGTTACATGATAGATTTATATGTCATTTGTGTAACTGGTACTTCTTTGCCAGCAATGCATATACATATTCAGTATAATCAAGTGTGGATCTATCGTTGCATTATGCTTTAAATGTCTCTTACTTTGATATTTTTTTTCAGAGTTGAAGATGTATCTCGACGAAAATTATGACTCCGTGCAACATACAAACAGATATGAAAGAGAAATTTCCAAAGTACCTGCTTCTCAATGGAATGATACAAAAGTGTCCGAAGATGTTCAATCACAGTGCAAACCGAAAATAAAAAGGTATCAAATTCTCGCAAACATATTAGGAGCATATTCAAGTTTTTTTCTAAAAATATAGGATTTATTTTCATTGAGTGGTATGAAAATAAATATTTCATGAGTCGCGGTAGCCACAAGCAAAATATAATAATTTTCACACCATAAGATGAAAATACATCCTGTATTTAAAGAAAAAAACTTGAATTTTCTGTTTATTATATACATTTTTCTCTTTTTTTTGACATAACAATTTGAAAGACTTCCTCTTAAATGTTGTATATTGGCTGAATCTTGAAGAAAGTAGTCCAGAAAGACACCCGTGAAAATACGGAAACTATGTTTCACTGTAGTGAAAAATAATAATTTTTCACAGTGAAAATATCGAAAATACGCATTTTATTTCAGCAATACCTATTTTGTGAATTTTTTTAAAATGAACACTTTCTGTTTAAGAGTAAGAAAACTGTTTTATCAATAATCTTTTTATAATCTTGAATAATTGTCATAATTTTCGATGCAAACTTTTTTTAACAGTTATTTTGCATTTTTATAAAAGTCGTTATTTATTTTTTTATGTTAAACAGGGACACTCGAAAATCAGACGACATCCAATGCCAACCCGCCAACCAGCAGACGTCAGGTGACCAAACTGTAAAATCTACTAAACATGGAAACTTAGACATGAGCATTACACATATCTGCCCAAAGTCACAATCTACTAGCACTCGGCAAATCAGTGAGAAGTTACTAAAAGATGATATAAGAAATGAGTTGGCAGACAAGAAGAAGTCAAAGAAAGGATTTTTTACCAATGTCTGTCGTGCTGTCCTCGCTTGCTTTGGTATAAAAAGTGACAGAAAATGAAACGATCCATTTGTTAAAATTAATCTATTTTGTGTTTTGATAATATATGAACTTAAAGTAAACTTATGTTACTTTTAACAAATATCTAAGTTTTGTTTTCTTTCATGTTTTATGAACACAGTCGTTGAACAGGGTGATGTTCCACGAATAGGTTTTGGACACAGAGAAGTAGTTTGTCTGTAAAGTGTATACCAAACCAAAATTCAGCACAAAGATATTATGTTATGGATAGTTTCTGGAAAAGGCTGTAAATTGTTTAAAAATGCAATGAAGAAAGCATTTCTTGCTGAAACCTCTTGTGGATTGCAATGCACTTCTACTTAATGAGGTCTATCTACCTACTATTTTTCTTGTTAATAGCTCTTGTAGTTTCAGAGTAATTTCCCTGACAAAGTGAGTTATGTTCACTGAGTGTGTCTTGTCTGTGTAGTGAGTTATATTCACATAATGAATAATGCCCAGTGTGTCTTGTCCGTGTCGTGAGTTATGTTCACTGAATGAAAAGTGTCCAGAGTTTTTTGTCCGTGTAGTGAGTTATGTTCACTGAATGAATAGTGCTCAGTGTGTCTTGTCTGTGTAGTGAGTTATATTCACAGAATGAATTGTGTCCAGTGTCAATTGTCTGTATAGTGAGTTATGTTCACTGAATGAATAGTGTCCAGTGTGTCTTGTCTGTATAGTGAGTTATGTTCACTGAATGAATAGTGTCCAGTGTGTCTTGTCTGTGTAGTGAGTTATGTTCACTGAATGAATAATGCCCAGTGTATCTTGTCTGTGTATTGAGTTACGTTCACTGAATGAATAGTGTCCAGTGTGTCTTGTCCGTGAAGTGAGTTATGTTCACTGAATTAATAGTGTCCAATGTGTCTTGTCTGTGTAGTGAGTTATCTTCACTGAATGAATTGTGCCCAGAGTGTCTTGTCCGTAAAGTGAAATATGTCACTGAATGAATTGTGTCCAGTGTGTCTTGTCTGTGTAGTGACGAATGTTCACTGGATAAATAGTGCCTAGAGTGTCCTGTCTGTGTATTAAGTTAAATTTGCTGAATGAGTAAGGTCCACTGTGTCTAGTCCGTGTAGTGAGTTATGTTCACTGAATGAATAGAGTCAAGAGTGTCCTGTCCTTGAAGTGAGTTTTATTAAGTGAATGAATTGTGTCCAGTGTGTCAAGACTGTGTAGTGCGTTATGATCACTGAATGAATAGTGTCCAAAGTATCTTGTCCGTGAAGTGAGTTATCTTAACTGAATGATTGTGTCCAGTGTGTCTTGACTGTGTAATGAGTTATGATCACTGAATGAATAGTGTCCAAAGTATCTTGTCCGTGTTCACTGAATATAGTGTCCAGAGTGTTTTGTCTGTGAAGTAAGTTATGCTCACTGAATGAAAAGTGCCCAGAGTGTCTAGTCTGTATAGTGAGTTATATTCACTGAATGAATAGTGTCCAGCGTGTCTTGTCCGTGTAGTAAGTTATCTTCACTGAATGAATTGTGTCCAGTGTGTCTTGTCTGTATATTGAATTATGTTCACTGAATATATAGTGTCCAGTGTGTCTTGTCTGTGTAGTGAGTTATGTTCACTGAATGAATAGTGCCCAGAGTGTCTTTTCTGTAAAGTGTGTTATATTCAATGAATGAATAATGTCCAGTGTGTCTTGTCTGTGTAGTGAGTTATGGTCACTGAATGAATTATTTCCGGTGTGTCTTGTCTATGTAGTGAGTTATATTCACTGAATGAATAGTGTCAATGTCTCTTGTCTGCGTAGTGAGTTATGATCACTGAATGATTAGTGCCCAGTATGTCCTCTCCGTGAAGTGAGTTATGTTCACTGAATGAATAGTGTCAATGTCTCTTGTCTGCGTAGTGAGTTATGATCACTGAATGATTAGTGCCCAGTATGTCCTCTCCGTGAAGTGAGTTCTATTCACTGAATGAATTGTGTCCAGGGTCTCTTGTCTGCGTAGTGAGTTATATTCAATGAATGAATAGTGTCCAGTGTGTCTTGTCTGTGAAGTGAGTTATGTTCACTGAATGAATTGTGTCTAGTGTGTCTTGTCTGTGTAGTGAGTTATGTTCACTGAATGAATTATACTCAGTGTGTCTTGTCCGTGTAGTGAGTTATATTCGCTGAATAAATTGTGTCCAGTGACTCTTGTCTGCGTAGTGTGTTATGTTCACTGAATGAATAATACTCCGTGTGTCTTGTCCCTGTAGTAAGTTATATTCACTGAATGATTAATGCCCAGTGTGTCTTGTCCGTGTAGTGAGTTATATTCGCTGAATAAATTGTGTCCAGTGTCTCTTGTATGCGTAGTGTGTTACGTTCACTGAATGAATTGTGCCCAGTGTCTATTGTCTGCGGTGTGATCTGTGTTCACCGAAAGATTAGTGCCCAGTTTGTCCTGTCCGTGTAGTGAGTTATGTTCACTGGATGAATAGGGTCCCGTGTGTCTTGTCTGTGTAGTGAGTTATGATCACTGAATGAATAGTGTTCAGAGTGTCTCGTCCGTGCAGTGATTATGTTCACTGAATGAATAGTGCCTAGTGTCTCTTGTCTGCGTAGTGTATTATGTTCACTGAATGAATTGTGTACAGTGTCTCTTGTGTGCGTAGTAAGAAATGTTCACTGAATGAATAATGTCCCGTATGTCTTGTCCGTGTAGTGAGTTATATCCACTGAATAAATTTTGTCCAGTGTCTCTTGACTTCGTAGTGAGTTATGTTCACTGAATGAATTGTGTCCAGTGTTAATTGTCCGTGTAGTGAGTTATGTTCACTGAATGAATAATGTCCAGTGTGTCTTGTCTGTGTAGCGAGTTATATTCATTCAGTGAATGAATAATACCCAGTATGTCTTGTCCGTATAGCGAGTTATATTCACTGAATAAATTGTGTCCAGTGTGACAGTGTCTCTTGTCTATGTAGTGAGTAATGTTCATTGAATGAATAATGTCCAGTGTGTCTTGTCTGTGTAGTGTGTTATGTTCACTGAATGAAAAGTGTCCTGAGTGTCTTGCCTGTATAGTGTGTTATATTCACTGAATGAATAGTGTCCAGTGTATCTTGTCTGCGTAGTGAGTTATATTCACTGAATGAATTGTGTTCAGTGTGGCTTGTCTGTGTAGTGAGTTATGTTCACTGAATGAATTGTGTCAAGTGTCTCTTGTCTTCGTAGTGAGTAATGTTCATTGAATGAATAATGTCCAATGTGTCTTGTCTGTGTAGTGAGTTATGTTCACTGAATGAATAGTGTCCAGTGTGTCTTGTCTGTGTAGTGAGTTATATTCACTGAATGAATTGTGTCCAGTGTCTCTTGTCTGCGTAGTGAGTTATGTTCACTGAATGAATAGTGTCCAGTGTGTCTTGTCTGTGTAGTGAGTTATGTTCACTGAATGAATAATGTTCAGTGTGTCTTGTCTGTGTAGTGAGTTATGTTCACTGAATGAATAGTGTCCAGTGTGTCTTGTCTGTGTAGTGAGTTATGTTCACTGAATGAATAGTGTCCAGTGTGTCTTGTCTGTGTAGTGTGTTATATTCAATGAATGAATTGTGTTCAGTGTGTCTTGTCTGTGTATCGAGATATGTTCACTGAATTAATAGTGTCCATGCAGTGTGTCTTGTGCGTGCAGTGAGTTATATTCGCTGCATAAATAGGTTGTAAATGTGTCTTGTTGTAGAGCATTTTGTCTGCTATTTGAATAAGTTTCTTTCTTTATGTTTTTTTCTTTTTTTATCACCAAAAGACAATTCAAAATTATCATCAAAACATATGAAACTATGAAATAACAAATAAGTCAGCAAAAGTGCACGAATAGTTAGAATTTCTATGACTTGGCGAAGTATATTAACGGAAAGGTCATATAAATGTCTAAGAGAATGTTGTGTAAATATTGCGACAACAGAAGCTTCTGATAGGTTAAAGATCAATTTAAATTGAGAAGAATGGTGACAGTACTGTATATAGGACTTTACGCAGGTCATTTTTCTTCAGGCGGAGTAAGTCTCCTATAGAAGTACGGCTTCATTAGTGACAAAATTTAACCCCTTTCGCTTGCACATGTATTTTAAAATTGACATTTAGTGCTAACGCGGCTCTAATTTTTCCGTTTTTATTTACGTTAAATACACACATGTTTGTCCGAATTAGAAATTGTTTATTTTCATACAAATTTCTCTGAAACTTTGCAAGGAACATGTATGATTCAGATTAATGTCGGTATTACCATTGTGCTAAGTGAAATTCAAATTAACGATTAAGAAAATTGATAAATAGATGACCCATTATGACGTCAGTAACGTAATCATGACGTAATCAAAATCAAATTTTGCTGACGTAACTTGTCATAGAAACGACGTTCCGCAACATAAGATATCAACACATAACGGTATGTAGATGCGTTTTTTATTATAATTATTTTGAATTTCTTTATTAATTCGTTTAACCGAACGTTATGGTCAGTAAAGTGTTTCAAAATGTTACACAAGTAATTAAGTTTCAATTATCATATTTATTTAAGCTCGTTTGAGATAAAATATTAATTGATCCATTCTCAAAGTCCGCTTCCTCGCATGGTTATGACTCAAGTATGACTTTGACCTACCACCTCTTCAAAGGTTTAGATAATAACACCGTAACACCAATTTCCCCTGCCACTCTCAATTTGTAGTTTAGAAAAAATGAAACTATGTTATTCTTCTTATTCAAACAACAATATTTCAAATAAATCAAATATGTTGAGTAAATTAATTTGTTGTGAGCACAATTACTGAGTATAAAAGTTTTGTTACAGTGAATTATGAACAGATTATCAAGAAACGACTACAAAGGTCACTCAAGAATGAACAAAGTTTGTTCATCAAAAATGGCAAGGTCTTTATGTGGCACACATAGAGGACATGATTTCCAAAGAAAATCGGCAAATCGCAGAAAAGGTAAGTTTTAAAGTAATTCTTATATGTTTTAAATGTTAAATATTGTTCATTTGAATTATGCATGAATCAGTGAGAGTATAATTTGTAACTCCGAAAACTGTACATTGTTTTGCTTGACTATCACTTGGGCCCATGTCTTTAATGTCAAGTCACCTTTTGACATGAGGGTCTGGCCATGTCTAGATTGTGTATTGAATACTTAATTTTCGGTTCTCTCCCATCAACGAGATACTCCAATAAGTTGTTTACTAATTATTTATATTTTCTATTTTTCTTTATATTAGCAGATGATGATAATACCATGCAAAAGAAAAGACGGAGTAAGAGCGTTTTGCCACCACAAGGTCAGAGGAGGTCGATGCCACAAAAACATGGTGAAGTTGCACAGCGGAGAAGACGCGCAACCGGACATAATAGTTCTAGAGCTGAAATAAGGAACCAGTCTGAATATGGTAATTTAAGCTAAAACCGTATATCTAAATCCATATATCTAATAACTATTCTTTATGTTTCAACCAAAAAAAACAAAACAAACAAACAAAACAACAACAACAAAATCAAAACAAAAAACGGAAACTGCTAATGCTTTGAGGTACTAGTATAATTTCAAACTTGAGAACTATTTTGCACAATGAACTGATAAAAGGGGTAAGACGTGTATTATTTATAAACACATTTAGTATAATCACTTGCGTGATATGTAAAAATAATTATGCTTTAAAGGGCCTTTAAAATTCTGTTTTTTTTTCTTCCAGAGTTAAAGATGTACCTCGAAGATAAGTATGACTGCGTGCAACATACAAACAGTTTAAGAGAATTTCACAAAGAACCAGTTTCTCAACAGCAGAATATAAAAGTGTCAGAAAAAGCTTTTTCTCTGCAGGAACCAAATTTAAAAAGGTATCAAGTTTTTTGCAAAGATACATGTTGGTCTCTTTTATATGTTTTGTACTATTAATAATTGATTAACAAAAACTATTTTTTATCCCTTTTTGATCTTGTTTTTTATCTTCTTTTGTTTAAGACAGAAATATTTAGAAAAAAAATCATGTAAAAGACAGAGTGTTTAATATCAAGCCTGTCATTATTTACGATGGAAGTTGTACATGCGCTTACATTGTGTAACCATTTTTTTATTATTATATTTTTACGTTTAACAGGGACTATCGAGAAGCAGACGACATCCAGTGTCAACCCGCCAAACAGCAGACGTCCGACAGCCAAACTATGAAACCTACTAAACATGGCAACTTAGACATGAACAAATTTACTGATGTCTGCCCTAAGTCACAAGCTTCTTGCACTCGGCAAATCAGTGAGAAGTTACTACAAGATGATTTAAGAAATGAAGTGACTGGCGAGAAGAAAACAAAGAAAGGATTTTTCACCAATGTTTATCGCAGTTTTCTTGCTTGTTTTGGAATTAAAAATCATAGAAAATGAAATGTTCCATTCGGAAATTGTTAAAAAAATGCATTTTGTGTTTGAATCATATAATTTAAACTTTGTTTACCTAAAGTAAAATTGATATATTTTTTTAAAAAGTCTTCGTTTTGTTTTAGGTCTATTTGATGTTTTATTTCTTTTTTTAAAAGAAACGTTTGCTTGATAGAAACATACAAGTACGTTAATAATACATAAACCCATTACTTCATATGGACGTGTTTTGATGGCTTTTCACTCCCTTTTGAGGCCTCAAATAGTGGGGGAAAAATGCCAAATTCAGACTCAAACACTGTTTTTCGTTTGAGAAATGGTGTTTAAAAAGTGATTCCTTTTTCGACGCCATCCTCTATCAAATAGATATATCAGGGGATGTGCCCCATTCTGCTTGGGATTTGAAGGGGGTCAGCAGACCTCCTCATCTCCAAGAAAATATTGGACTTGTGAGAGGCTAAAAAAGGCCTCAGTACAGGTCGACCTTAACCTAAAGGTAAAGCTAAAAAGCTTTTGACTTTATCTCAATCAACTAAGACGTCACCGCACTTACAAATCAGTTTTAATGGAAAACATCAACACAAAATAGTGTTTGTTTGTTGTTTTTTGTTGTTGTTTTTTTGCAATTTTGAGATCTCCCTTCGTTGCCATGGTAACAGGAAACTTAAGATTGAGTATGCCGTTACAAAGGTTATGGTGCAGTCAACATTTGTGCCAAGTTTGAACAGTATTGAAGCCTTTTTATAGTTTCATAGCAAAATGGGGGCTTTTGAACGAAAACAGAAATTTTTCACAAAATGCTCATGCAAAATGGGTTAAGGCGCGATGCAAGTCTTTTAAATTCAGCGTCCCTTTAGTTTTTTTTTTGTTTTTTTTTTTTTTTGGGGGGGGGGGGGGGGGGCGAACAACACAGTGAAATAATAAAGTAAAAGGTCAGCCGACGATGATAAACTTGCGAAGTACGCTAGCGGAAAGGTCATGGTCACCTAAAGGTCAAAGAGAATGTTTTACTAATGTCATTATTTGTACATTTAGTTATTAGTTAACACCATTTCCCTTGAAAAGAATAGGCCGCTGCTTTCACGGTCAATAGAAAACTACGTCACTGCATGATAGTGTACCTGTATAGTGATAAGTGGCGAGAGAGATATTATGTATCCGAGTCTGCAATTTTTAGTACAATATTGATAGTTTCTTGGCTTCTGAGGAAACTTCCCTTATTCAGTATTAGTTAACTGAATTCATTAATTGAGCCAAAATAGATTATCTTCAGTGTAAGTGTAGATATTAAACTTTTTAGAACATATGTAATTAAAGGCAATCAATCCATGCATGTGGGTAAGTTTTCATTTTTTTCCGTTTGTGAAAAAAAATAAAAGCTGTTTTTGCAAAAAAATCAAAATGTGATTCTACCCTCTTGAATTTCCTTTATATTTATCCTTGTTAGTGTCGGATTTTTATGCAGTCTTCGTCGAGGTATTCTTTCCGTCGTGGGTTCTGGTGTGTGCAAAACATGCAATGCGTATGATGAAAGCGTCACAAAATGGACTCAAAATACAGAATTTTTACAAAATGTTACCACCAAACGATGGTTAACATTCAAACAAACCCTTATTGAAATATTTATTAAGATTTGGCTCCAAACCAGGGAATCGCCGGTCAAAATTCCATCCATCTCAGCTCCATATGTGTTGAAGAGATTCATGGGTGCGTATCAAAAATCATCATTATGACGGATCACTTCCATAAAGTAATCTATGTGTTGTTCTCTGTAATTAAAACTTATATCCGAAAAAGACAGATTTTCTCAAGTGGAGCTTGAAAAGCATCATCCATAAAGAAATAGATAAAGGAAATTCAGCATACTAAAGATATTGATTATAGACCTTTTTATGACGCGGTCCGTTGCTATGAAAAATCGATCGGAAGTAGTACTTTCTCGCGCATTTTATCCGGTTCCTCGTAACACATGTTAAATTTTTCAATGCTTAGCAAACACATTAATTTTACTAAATGAACTTTCAGCCAAAGCTACAGAACCTTAATTGCTTCTCTGATGCTTTTTTATGTTTATATGGAGGTGATTCGTAGTTTTATAAATGGTTTTCTATATCACCTATGGATCTCTTCCGCACATATGAAGCTCGACTGTCCAGAATATTTACCAGCGGTTCCTTAATTTTGAGCCAAATATTAGTAAATGTTCAAAAAGGGTTTGTTTGAATGTTTAGCATCGTTCGGTGGTAGGATTCCGTAAAAACATATCTGTTCACATATATGGTGTTATAGCGCACAACCCGATCAGCGGAAATTCACATATGTTTTTACCGATGCTCAATTTCGAACTTGGCGGAGATTGCCGAGTTGATACGATTAGTTTTGCCATTAACTTCCGGTCTAAACAACAATAACAACAAGGAGTGTGGGTTTCTGTTTAAAAGTGATAAACCTGTCTTTATCTGTCTTTCAACCATTGTCATCCACTGTAAGATAAATGTTTTACTCGATTTGATTGTCAGATTTAAGTCGTAAGGTAATTATAGTCGGATTTATATTTTTTTCGGGGCCAGAAAATGCATATTTTAAATGATTATGATTCGCCCCACATACAAGTCGCCCCGGTACAATTCAACCCGGCTTCAAGTGAATCCGGCCCCAAATTAGTGACTCCGGCCCCAAGTCAATCTGACATCTGGTCAACCCGGCCCTATTTCAATCTGTTTCTTTGTATATCATAATTTGCATATCTTTCTGTTTTAAATGCCACAGTTGATCTTTGTTAGAAATTCAAATTTTATGTTTTAGGTTTTTAGACCTCAGTGGAGTTCCTTTAATGAAGGACCGATTGTGACAATGGCATTTTTTGATGAGAATACAAGCGTGGTTCGTATGAAGAGAGACTTTGATCAGTTTGTTCAGGATCACGATGAGAGCAGAGGAGTGGGAATATTCAGTTTAGATAAATTAAACAATGAAAGTTACAAAAACAGGTCTGGTGATAGTGGATCTGTATCTGTACAGGCCCTTCTTGGTAAGTATTTTGTTAGTTCTCTAGAACAAAAGATTTAAAGTGCACTTTTGTAGCACACTTTTATATGGTTAATAATCCTGTCACATTGAATCCTTGATATTAAAAATTGTTCATTGTTTTTGTTTGTTTGTTGTTGTTTTTTTAGCTTTTTAAATCAACATTCAGCTTAAGGAAAATTCTATTGACCATTGAATCATGTAAAGTAATGTGCATGTAATAAATTCATACCACAGTAATTTGCAAATGAAATGCAAACTTACATGTAAACATACATGTAAATACTGTAGAAATTTGTCTGGTTGCTTGATAATTGTTGAAATTGGTTTTTGAATTAATAGAGAAAGAGAAGAATTTCAAGATTCAAGAAGCAGAATGTATAGCTGCAAGGAGTGAAATTACTCGACTTCAGTCTAAGATAGCATCTCTAGAAACATCAAATAAGAGAGCTAGGATTGAATATGAACAGCAAGTGGAAGAAGTCAAGTGTGAAAAATCTGTAAGTTGTGTTTCTTTACCTTGTGACCCAGTGTTTATATACGTACTGCAATAAATATAATCAGCTGTATTCACAAAAATAATGAATAGTGTTTTTCCTTTAATCTATGCAAGGGTTTACAGAGATCAAAATTTTCACTTGTTTGCTTGTAATTAAGAGTAGAATTTAAAAGAACTTGATGCAGGACGAGTAGAAAAATGGCACATTGGATTTAGAAGCTACTCATCCTGTAGGACGAGTGACTCTGAAAATAATTTTTGATGCCTGGGTTTAGTTTTAATCTTGTACAGGGTAACATTTAGCTATAGGTCGTCTTTCTTCAGACTCGTGTTTCTTCTGAAGTGCATTTGTAATCCAATAATATTAAAGCAGAATTCACTTGCAAGCTTAATTGTTGGCACCATGATAAAAATATATAATTGCAACTTGCTTGTTAACGTCATTGGCTTGAAATTTTGTCATTAAGTTGAGACCTATTCATGAGTCGAAGTTTTGATGTGCCGAATTGTTTACGCAACTCCCTTCAACTTCAGCTTACCAAAGTTCTACTGTAGTATGCTATAGGAGAGATTTACCACCACGTCACTGATAACTGCTGTGTGGACTACGTATACACACAATCTTAGAAGGTCGTACATTCACATGTAAACAATGATAGCATTTTCTGTAAAGTTAACATAAGATGATGTTCCTGGGGCAAAGTTTTAAAGTTCAGAATTATCTGAACATATATTTTTTTGTAATATTCAAAATGAAGAAAAAAATACAAAACTATTTTCTAAATAGTATTGATATATTTTATATATAAGATAAGTGTGATGTTATAAAGGGTTAAATTTTTGTTAAACATCTACATGTACTTTAATTTTTATGTCTATATCAATCTTGAAACAACTCGCTACATGTGTTCTATGAACTATCATTTCTATGTGAAATATGCCTGCTAATTGCTCAGTTTTGTTTCATTTTCATTTTCCCTTTTTTCACCCTGTCAATGTAAATATGTTTTATGATTCAAGGGTATTATATTTTAGCCATTGTTAAATGTATGCTTAAGACCCAAAACTGAGTGTTGTTAACATAAATATAATCTAAAACTTTATGCTTAGTTCATTTTCAGTTTTAAGTATTAAGCAAGTTAAAGTGACATTATGCTCATATTTTCATAGTCAATTTGAGCTGAATTGACTTTATATTTCAAAAGATTGACTGTTAAAATGGTATTTGACCAACAGGTGATATTTGAAAATGTTTGGGATAAATTTAATTGATTTTAAAAGTTGACAAAATCCCCAGTTAAACATGTTTACAGCAGCCAATACAAAAAAGAAAAGGCAACATAATTACTCAAAATAGTCATGTGTCACATCTGTGTTTGCAAAAAAATCTGGGATCAGGTAGATTTGATAATGACCTCGTGAATTTATTTCAGAATACAAGTATACCTCTAAAACTATTTCATATTTATAAGCTAGGCATTATATATTTGATGTAGTTAACTAATTATAACTTTTTTTAGGCCACATATTATAACATATATCTAAGCAATGTCTTTATAATTGTTCAGGGCTGGGAATCAAAACTGCGTCGTATCCTACAAAATGTAAACAAACGCCGCCATCTTGGAACGAAAAATGTATGTTTTTGTTTATAACTCTTTTTGTTGGAAATGACTGAAAACCAGATATATGTATTAACACGCTACACTATTTTGAAGTATTTTCCGCTTCGTTCGGTATATGTTGCTTAGACAACTATTTTGTAAAACAAAAGTTATAGCGAACTTGCAACTCGAAGCGGAGCAGAATTTTTATAAAAATGTGTGGATATGACGCAGTTCATATTGTTTTATCTATCGTTTCTCCTTCAAATCAATTATATACTCGTTTTCAGAGTTCACCATAAACTTCAAAACATAATTTTGCATCATTTACTAAATTTCCATTAAAAAGAGATGTTTATTTTCCAAGAAAATAATGATTTTTACGAAATGATACGACGCAGTTGAAAATAAAATATGATACGACGCAGTTGTATTTTCATTGCAGGCTGCATATTGGTTTTAAACTATTTAAATTATGTGCTAGGCATGCTAATAACGTCCAACAACATTTCTTGTTTACAACTTAAGTCAAAAGCAGAGGTCACTCATTGGTTCCATAAAAATGGGAATGTAATACAATTCTATTAAGGCTGCATTTTTCAGTCGCATTTAAGAACCTATCATAAGCATCTACAAATTCCGAAAAGCTGTATCAAATGCAATATACATTGAAACACGTGATCGCACACCCATATGACAACGTGTTCCAGTGTTGTCTTAGCATGCTTCTAAAATTGTTCACGTGAGTTCGAAATGGGAGTGATTACTATTTTTGATTCCAGTGTAACCTCTCCTTGACCCTGTACTAGTATTAATCAGAAATGACCTTTTTAAAAAAAGAGAGAAAAAAAAAGAAAGAATTACAAAATTTGAAAAGGTCTCTTGCTATCGGAAGAGAGCTATGCGCAAATTGCATGCCTACCTTTGTTACTTGTAATTAGCAATAATTTCCGTCAATTCCGTTATTACTTATGTCTTTTACGTGCCGATTTTATTGTATTCATTTTCTTAATAATCGGTGAGAACAGATGAGCTTTATCATTTAAAACTGAACATTAAATTTTTAAAATTATATTATAAATGGTTAAGCTACAATATATTTTTGCAAGTAGGTTAATTATGCGTTCCGTTTTCAGCGCCGCGAAACTTAAATTTACTTCTGATTTTGTCGTATTGCATTTCTTTATCTCCGATGAGGAAAGGTCTACGGAATGTTTTTTCCATATTTGCACTTTAGTATCATTCTTCTCCATTAAAAAACTTTAAATTTTCAAAATCTAGTTACATATGATACAACTACAGATTATTTTGTAAAGAAGGTGTCCGTTTTGCAAAGGTATTTTACGCTGTGCACCGATAAATTGATAAGATATAGGCAGACATGATCTTTCAACAGTATTGAAGAAGTTTTCACAATATTGAACAGAAAATTTAGGTCAGATTATCGAATCGAATTTTCAACAGACTAGAGACATGGCATCTTAACATACCTTCATACTGAAGTGTGATTTTTATTTGATAATGAATTGCCTGAAAACTTAAACAAAGGTTTTCAGAAAATGACTTCACAGAGGATTACCCCCTGTTTACATTGAAAATTTCTCTGCTAGTCATACCGAAATAAGAAATTTAAATGTTATTCTCTTTATAATTAATTCAAATATTTATAATCTTAAAACTTCACGCCAGAAGTTAATAAAAAAGCTGCTTATTTGTACAGCTGACGTGTGTGTCCGACCGTGGCAGAGCTGTTTATGTTTACTGAATTCAAATCACTTGAACTGAACTGCTATGAATTCGAAAACCACCAGGTTCTTTTTATTCTTCCATGTGGAAAACCTATCAAGCTAGTTTCAAAATGTCGATGGTTCTCTGCAGGTGCAACATTTTGCCTGAAATAATGCACAAAGGCGCACCTGAGGTCCTCGCCCTTAGTAAAGCTAATGTGTAGAGTGAAAGTTTGAAAACAAACCACAAAAAAGCAGTCATTACCCAGAACATGCAGAACCACAGTTAACTTAGAGCGTAGCTAGCCAACATGAATTCAAGTTAATAGATTTCTATATTTTTTTGCGAAAAAATTAGGGATAATATTAAACCTACAGGAAAATATAAGAAATTATTTCAGATATTATGATCAATTAGGTAACATGTTCATGTTTAACTGAAAAGTAGCTTCCGCAATGTAAACTTTCAAATTAAATGTTATATTGGACATGACATTCTAAATAATCAAAAGCAACAGAACATTGCTATACACCGCAAATGATCTGGGTTTTTTTTATCTAGCGCAAGTGATTATTCCATAAAATAGAAATATTTTGCCAAAATTATCCCTGTTGAAAAGACTGCCAAAAATTACAACTGCGTCGTATCATATATTTTATTTTCAACTGCGTCGCATCATTTCGTAAAAATCATTATTTTCTAAGAAAATAAACATCTCTTTTTAATGAAATTTTAGTAAATGATGCAAAATTATATTTCGAAGTTTATGGTGAACTCTGAAACAAATATATAATTGATTTGAAGGAAAAAACAATAGATAAAGCAATATGAACTGCGTCGTATCCACACATTTTCATAAAAATTCTGCCCCGCTTAGAGATGCAAGTTCGCTATAACTTTTGTTTTACAAAATAGTTGTGCAAGCAACATATACCGAACGAAGCGGAAAATAGTGTAGCGTGTTAATACGTATATCTGGTTTTCAGTCATTTCCAACAAAAAAAGTTATAAACAAAAACATACGTTTTTCGTTCCAAGATGGCGGTGTTTGTTTACATTTTGTAGGATACGACGCAGTTTTGATTCCCAGCCCTGTGTTCGAATATTTCTTTTGCCTACAGTTTTTATAATTGTTTGAAGATTTCTTTTCCCTACAGTTTTATTTATTTTCAATAAAAAATAAATAAATAGGAAATATGAGATAAGAAAGATTGTTTTGTTTATATAATTTTGTAGCTAAGTACCTTTAAAAGTACAATAGAATTGCATCATTTCATACAATAATAGCCTATATTTTCCCAGTCACTTTGCAAGCTTAATGTTAATGCTTTACTTATTATTTTCAATCACCTGTTTTATTCCCGATGAATTAAGTTTACGATGAATTAAGTGTACGTTATTTTTTGCTGATTTAAAAAATGATAACAGTTTCTTGACAATATTTCTAAGCAAGTTTGTTTCACATATTATGTCTTTATTGTAAATAAATAGTTACTCAACATATTGTTAATCTTTTCTTTATTCATGAACCTTTTAACTGATATTTTCTTAAATTTATGATAATACAATCATTTTTCTATTCGGGGACTAATGATGCTTTAGCATCAAAACCTCTACTTTATTGAAACAGAGCTCATATTTATTTCTTAATAGACATACACACCATAGTTTTCTTATGTAAAATGACTAGGTAGTACAAAGAGGATGTACGACCAGCAACTGTTGCTATGGTCAGTGCTTATCAGCAATTCTATTTTTAGAATATTGGCCACTGGTAAATCTCTCCTATTGTACAAAAAACCTATGGTCATCTGTATAAAGGACATTAGAAGTAAATTGGGAACTGTCAAGCTCTTTGACCAAGCCAGTTTTTAAACAATCATCAAAAACTTGTTTATTATACATATAGCATGAAAGTCAGAGATTGTCAGATGTGATGTCAAAGATAAAGATTTTGAAAGATCGAGAGGTCCAGATGAATGAGACTTTGACAGAGTGCCAGAAAGAGTCGGAGAGACAGAGGAAGAAGTATGAGGAACAGATTCTGTCGTTACAAAAAGAGAGAATACAACTCTCTGATGAAATACTCCAGGTGAGTTATTGTATCATCCTTACAGAGCTCATTTACATGTTAGTTAAATTTCAAGTTCAGGTTTACAGAGCTCATGGTGGCAAAATAGTTTTATGCAAATGTCGGCCTGTATCATTATCTGTAACACTTTGTTTAGTTTATTACCTTGTCTATCTTTTTAATCACTGACGGGATTGCTATTCTTGAAATTTTTATGAGTAGTTTAAGGTCATCATGTTTATCAGTTCACCTTTGCCACCAGTATAGAGCCCCTTTGCCGTACGCAGTACGTTGGTTTTGTCATGGTGCAGCTCATATAGTTTTCTTATGTAATTTCAGGAGAAGGAACAGAGCAGGGAGAAGATTACACAGTTGAAGAGAGACATGATGAGGAATGAAACTGAGCTGAAAATATGCTCGTGTGAGCTGGAGGAGACTAAAGCTCAGCTTAAACTTCAGCTTCAGTAAGTGTGCATGTAGTTTATTCCATTGAAAATTAACAGCCATTATTAGAGCTGTCATTGATAGCAATGATATCCATGTATCATTGATATTTTATGTTGATAATAATCGATACACATTTGAAAAAAATCGACTAATAAATTAAATTTCTAGAAATTTAAGAAAATTCACCCAAAACATATACAGAAGTGGATGTCCATTTCAACCACTATGCAATCATTACATAATGGACATATTTCATAGAAGTGATGACAAAAAGTTGTCTGAAAAAATCATACAATGGCCATTTATAAACAAGACACATCATAATGTATGAAAAGAACAGTCATGTATTTTATGGAATCATTTAAAAAGGTTTGAAAGTGAATTATAGAAAGGCAATTATAAGCAGTCATCTTTATATCGGTGTATTGCCGATATTTGTCATCCGATATCGAAATATTGTTGCTTCGAACTGAGTATTAGTAACAGCTCTCATCATTATTGATGATTAAATTAAAACTTTAAATACATGTTGCAGGCTTGTTAATAAAGCATGCAATAGAAAATATCTGTATACAAGACAGTCGGGTGACTTGGTATTTCGGAATTTACAATATTATACATACCGCTTGGAAGCAAATCGAAAGGCTGTAACATTGTGTTAGTTACCATATCATGCAAACTAAAGAAACTTGTTGTAATGATGAAAAACTGGAAAATATTACACCATCACTGGTTAGTCACAGGAAACAGATTCAATAGTGGTTAAAATAATCACTATTAAGTTTAACCCTTTCACTGCCCTTTCATATGCCGTCCCTATTATTTTCGGCGTATTTGCCATATGGACGGGTTTTGCCGTTTGTATAATTATAATAATAATTATAATAATAATAATAAATATATAGATAATTATACCATCGACAATAAATATTATATACTAGCAGATTTGGAAACATATATAATTATTATAATACTAATAACTAATAATAATAATTATATTAATAATTAACAATATAGTAATTTCTTAGAAAACCTTCTGGCAAATAGGTGATCAATAAATAAATAACCCTCTGGCAGTGAAAGGGTTAAGGTAGTCTTACTTTAATGTTTTCCCACCAAAAAAATCTTAACATCGGCTAATATTTTAGCAAATCGGTTATATCCGGGGCGTTATTTTTTTCAAAATCTTGGGCATTAGATTATTTACAATCACTCGTCCTTTAAAAATCTATTATTGTAGAAGATCATCAGAGATCAGCAACCAAATGAAAGACTTTGAAGAATTGAGATTAAAATACACCCAAGCAGAGCAGAAAATAAAGGTAAACATACTAACTGTACTGTAATAATTATATTAGAAATGTTGGCATAAAAATAGGGAAGAAAATCTAATTTAACTTTACTGTTGTTTCTGTAAAATAGATACATATGTATACAACTATTAAGCATGGTAATATCTATCATTATTCTGGTATTTTTGTTCTTTACTTTTGATAATGCCAAAATATGTTCCCTCCTCACAACAACTCTATCTCCCCAGCAGTTAGTCTGCTTGTTGCAATAGAGAGGGATCACTAGCCGCATGGGTTCAAACCCCCGTCAGGGGCTAGTCATTGTTTCCTTGAGCAAGAAACTTTACACTTATTGCTCAGTACTGGTTGGTTCCAGGAACGGATCTGGAAGTGTGTCTATAAGCTTATAGCTTCTTACTCAATCGAACTAAAAATAAATTCTGTATAAACCAAATGAATGTTTAGCAAACAGAAGGCACTCTGTAGGTTTGATGGTAGCGTACATTGCTTCAGAAATATTTGAAAGTTTGACCATTGATTTCAGGATTTAGAGTTACAGATATCACGAATGGAGGAGGACCATTTAGTTGGTAAAGCCATGAAAAGCCAGGTTTCAACATTTTTTGAAATGGAGAAAGAAAATAGAAAACTGCTTGATGAGAACCAATATTTAAGGTATGTGTATTTAAATTGATAAGTATTTTTTTTCTTAATAGGTTATTATATGTTGATCAGTGGTTTAAGAAAGTTCTAAATCATGAACAGATGGTGTCAAGCTGGTTGCTCTGCTGATTAACTTTTATTTAGACAGACGTAAAAAATCAAACTTGATATAAAGGTACCTTTTATGAAGCCCTAGCTTTTAATAGCTTTTGAGTCTCCTTTACTTAAAAAATATAGAGAAAACATGTTTTTTATACAAAATTCTATATAAGGAATGAAATATCAAGTATCGTAAGACCTAACTTTAAAAAGGTTTATGTGCCACAAGGCACTTGTTTTTGAAGTACAAGAGAATAACGGGAATTTTGAGTTCAGTTTCTGTAAAAATAAACAAGAATTAAAGACATTGTATTTTAGATTTAATAAGAAAAAAGGAAAAAATAAAGTACATGTATAAATAAGAAAAGTTTGAATTTTGTTCCAGGCATCGAAAATTATTTTCCTAGTCACTCAGTAACTTCTAAATCCAATATGCTGGCAACATTTTTCTACACTGTCTGCATCGAGTTTTCTTAAATTCTACTCGTAATTACTAGCGGACGAGTGGAATTTTCTATCCCTGTGTTCATGTAGAGATATACATTAAAATGCAAAAATTTACATGTTTCTTTAGAGATATTCAATACAATAACTGAAACTGAATGTTGTATTTTTGTAGAGATATACAATTAAAGCAGCACGCCTCCAGATTCATCCTAATTTTCATGAAAATTTTGAAAATGTATTTAAAGGTAAAATATTGTGAAGTGAACAAAGAACGTACTTGACACATTACAATCAGCACTTTAAATCCACGTAAATTACCAAAAAGAGGTCAAAATATGCATAAATAGCCCTTACTGCGTTAATAACGCAGTAGAAATATGGTGATAAATACTACAAAATACAGTCATTAATTGCACATAAGATATAAATTATCACTTGAATCTTTAATTTGTTTACTTTTCTCAAAGTTTTAGTATGTTTTTTCCAAGTTTAATTTTATTAAAATATTTTGGGTCATCTGGAGGCATGCAGCTTTAAAAGCAAGTACATGTCTTATGTGTTTCTTTAGAGATATTGAAGACAATAACTTAAACTGAATATTTCATTTTTATAGAGATATTCAAGAGAATAATATACTTCTAAAGGAGCAACATGATTCAATGAAGAAGAAATTAGAGAGAATGGAAGATAAACTCATCAACTACAATAAATTAGTTGAGGAAAATGGGGTAATTTGTATTTGAAGTTCATAGTGTAGTTTATTCAGTAACTGAATGAAAGTCATTGGTATTTTAATAAGTTATGGAAAATTTACATTTGTAATTGCCATTTTAAGATGTTACATATTAAATCAGTTACTGGTTAATCCAGATGGTAAATAGAAATCAACAGTTACAGTAAATGTTTTAACAAATTTGATTTTGTGTCGCCTGCTACAGTAGAAGGGATAACTTTTCTGTCGTCTGTCTGTCTCCTGACTACTCCTTAGAGACTACTGTTGTGATTTTATCTAAACTTTAAGGAATGATCAGTATTAAGTCAAGTTGTGCATATCAAGCATTTTCCAGTTCAATGATTTTTGTCAGAGTTATGGCCCTTTACAGATTTTTATTTATTGAGTTTTCCTAGACTACTCCTAATATACCACTAATGCAATTTCAAAGAAACTTTACAGGATTATATATAGACCAAGATCAGCTGACACAACACATCCTTGCCATCTAATCATGGTCTGCACTGTTTATTATTCAGTCAGTATTCAATATAAAATTTCCCTCGAAATGATTAATGGGGTTTGTCCGGAATAAAAAATGGACAAGTTCGTTTCGGATATTTAACATGGTAAAAGGTTAATTCATCATTAACAGTTAAAAAGTTAGGTCACTGTCAGCATTCTGTTTTAGCATATAATTTTAATTCAGGGTTTATAAGGACCCTTAATATATTTGGTATAAATAGTATTTCTACATGGAAAATAAAATAAGGTAATTTGATAAGAACTTTTATTTAAAAGTTTGTTTTATTTGTAGGTTATGAAGTCTAAACTAAGTCAATGGGAGAATTCTGACAAGTCAGGTCATAAAATCAGGTAAATATGAATACGAATGTAAAACTGTAAACTGATATATGAAAGAAATATGTTATTTACACAGAATCACATGTATGATATGGATATTCTGGTTTTAAAGTATGTCATATGACTTAAATGTCATATGACTTAAATGTCATGGGACTTAAATGTCATGGGACTTAAATGTCATGGGACAAAAATGTCATGGGACAAAAATGTCATGAAACTTAAATGTCATGAGACATATTTCATGTGACATAAATTTCATAGGATTTAAATGTCATGGTACATAAATGATTTTTTTGTATCTTGAGATGAATGTAAGCATATAAATTTTTACTTTTTACAACAAAAATTTGTATATTTTTTGCCACAAAAAGTTTTTTCAAGTAATATTGTGATTAAAGAAAATACTTTATTTTAATTGTACTGATCTTATAATTAAAAAAAAGATTTTATCTGCTTGTAGAGCTGTCATGGATAGAAATAATATGAATGTATTTGTTGATATTTTTCTGGCGATCAATAATCGATACACATTTAAAAAACCCAATAATTTTGACTAATTAATTAGTAAGTAAGTAACGACTTTATTTAATGAGGCTAGCACATTCGGTTTCCCGATCTTCCATGTGGGCCTCAGCATATACATACAATGTAACATAACAACATATAAATACAATGTGACATAAATTATATACAGTCAACATTTACAAAACATCATTTAAGAAATAAACTGTTAATTTTTTTTTTTTTTACACTTTGTGGCATTTTCAAAAACTTCAATATTGAAAAATACAAGCAACCTCAATATTGAAAAATACAAGCAAAGTAAAAAAAAAAAAAAAATACAACTAATGTTAAAAAACAACACAGTTATAGAAGTTATAGTCATCTTGGTATCATATTTAAAAAGCTATGTACACAATAATGGAAAAATTGACATATATAATTTTAATGGAAAATTGCCAATGAATATAGTTGGCTTGAAATTTTTTCAAAGTTTCAGAATTTCTAACATGTATTGGAATGTCATTCCATATTGTAGGCCCAGAGTAATTAAGTGTTTTCATAAAACACTCTGTTTTTGGTTTAGGTACAATTAGTTTTTCATTTTGGACAGATCTCAAATTAAAGTTGTGTCTATCATTTACTGTTTGAAATTTATTTTTCATATACTTAGGAAAGGATGTTAAAGGAATTAAATGTCTATAATATAATTATGAAAATTCACCCAAAACATATAGAGAAGCAGGTGTCCATATCTAACACTATGCTGTTGTTAGAAAGTGGAAATATTTCATAGCAATGATGATTAAAAAAATGATCAGGAAAAAAAATCATGCAATGGGAATTTATAAACAAGACATTGAACAGAACATGTATTTTAATGAAATCATTCAAACAGGTATGAAAGAGTATGACAGACAAGTAATTTTAGGTACTTATCGATATATCGGTGTATTGATGATATTTGTCATCTGATACTGATATATCATTGGTATGCTTTGCACTTAATCAATGACAGCTCTTTTTGCTTGTAATATGCATAGATGATATTAAACATAGCAGAAGATAAAGATATTTCAAGTCAGCAATTATTTAAATTTCTTTTTTTTTCTTTTTTAAATTTATTTATATTTCTTGACTGCTGATTTTTTTGCTTCTCTTTATTTTCCATGAAGGTCACCTGCAGATTTGTCAAAGAGAGTGACCGAACTTCAAAATGCCGAGGTCCTCATGTTGTCAAGACAGGGAGAGTTACAGACAAGGTAACACATTGAAATACAAAATTTTACATGGAATTTACAAAAATATGATATTTTCTACCATTCTGAACAAAGTCAAATAAAAAAATTGAGCTACCGGTATCGTAAAATTAGAGTCTGGTCAGCCTAAACTGGCTTTGTTCTGGTGGCAAAGGCTGCTCATTTTTCCGTTTTGCTACCAGTGCAAACCAAGATAGCCAGGTCTTCTATGATATCATATTCTAAACTATTTACTATTCAGTCAGTGTATATTTTGCACTTTTCTCTAAAATTGATAAATGGTTTTGTCAAATTTAAAGATGGACAAGTCCATTGCAGATGTTTAGAGTGGTATCAATTAATGATATTTGTTTCTTTGTTTTCTTCAAGCTTACATTTAAAGGAGAATAGTTTACAAAGTTTACAAGATCAAGTGAACGTGCTACAACAACAAGTTGTTACAGAGAAAACTAACCATCAACAGAAGGAGGAGCTTATCAAAAGATTGAAAAGAAAACTTCTCTTGGTGACAAAGGTCTGTATACTTTTAAACATACATGCAGTTTCCTCCATAAATGTTTCAGTAGCAAGTAGCTAGCAATTTGGCACCCCTTGATAATTTTAAAACATTTGGTTAAACACAAGTAGTGGTTAGTAAATTTTGAGGTAGCCAGGAATTTTGCAGACCCACATTCATGCCGTCTGATCATAGTTTGATATTCAGCTGTTACATATTTTGACATTTTCCCTAAAATGTTGAATAGTTTAGTCCATATTGAAAGGTGGACAAGTCCATTCAAGTTATATAGAGTGATCAAGGCTAATCATCTCTTTACATTTGTAATATAATTTAGGAAAGAGATGGATATAAACGTATCATAGACTCATACGAGAGTGAGGTTACGGTATCTATGGACATGGTTGGTTCATCTGGTCGGGTTCAACATCTCGAGGAAAGTGTTCAGGGATATAAGAAGCAGACGGAATTTCTTGATGCCGAGTTAAACAGAGTTAACGAAGAGCTTACATTAGCTAAACTGCATGCCAAACAAGTGAGTATTGTAATTAAAGTGTATAAAGCTATATATCTGATGCAAAAATTACTGTTTGAATTTTAAAAAGTATACTTCCAAAATGCTTTTATGAAATTCATATGGTAATTTATTGCCTTAAAAGCGAATGGTGCATGTACAGAATGATTGCTAAACGGATAAAACCCTACTTAAAATAGCAAAATAATATTTTGTTCCGGAACATTTTATTCTGTTTATGTACATTATACATGTGTATTAAATAGCAGAGACATTCTTTGTGACAACTTTTTTTAGGAATCAACCTTATAATAATGGAATCAATATTATTTTTTAAATATTTCATAAGATAATAGATATATACCCTTTAAAGATTTGTTTACATGAAACTAAAATTTAGAAATCTTAGAAAATAAAGACTAGAAGTGTACCTTTAGTCTGTTCAAGTAACTATTCTCATCCAGTTGTATCAAGTGTCATACAGTGCAGCCTTTCATGGAGCAATTCTCAACAGCAGTTTCAATTATTTAACATCTCTAGAACAACAACTCCCAGCAACAACCAGAAGATATGTTTCTCAAAGGGATTTGCTCTGGAGTGGTTGCATTGTATTGTCAGGCATTGAATGGGCAGATATTTTCATCACTTCTGTAATAGATCTAGATATTTATTATTTTGATTGTTTGCCAACTGTTATTATAGATATTAAAATGGCAGTACAAGCAAGTACTATGTACCAGAGGTTATGACCTTAAGCATATCACAGGTTATGAAATGACATTGTAAATATTCTCAGGAGTCAAATGCAACAGCTTTGTTTTATTGTTGGATAGTTTACTTTATGTTGCAGTGAACTTATTTGTTTTAAATATATAAAAGACTGACCAAGTAACTTTTCACATTCAGTTTCATCTAGTATTCTAGTATTTTATTTGAACATAACTATATGGTCAGTTATGTTAATGTTTGATAATATGGTTGTAGGTTGAGTTGAGACTGTCACAGGTACAGCAGGCAAGTCACAATGGAATGTCATCTTCACAGGGTGACCAGCAAACCGCTATTCATCTCAGGTATGTATTGTGTAAACGCATGTCAGGATGGGGAAAATAAATACAATTCTTATACAGTTTTCTAAGTTTATAACAAGTATTTGGGCAACAACAGTGTCTAGTGAGTTACAAATATTGGATTTAAATACATACAAACTTACAAGTTTGGATAACAATGTCGTTTGTAAGATGTTTACTGAATTTGAACTTTGGCGGTTTTACAACTTTATTTCCATTACTTGGAGGTCAAGACCGAAGTGACAACATTGGTTGGATTCCGACTTTTATAAGGTTCGATGTTTGAAATCCACCAATGAAACAACAGAAATCCGGAAATCCTCCAATGGACAGACGGCCGGATTTCTGAATCTGAAATCCTGGATTTCAATGGCGGCCATATTGAAATCTCATATAAAATCTACATACGAAAATCATTAATATACAGAAACATGTAGTGAATACCTAAGGACTTCTGACCTTAATCAATCATAAACTCTACATAAATTACGTTCTTGAATTGAATTTGACTGAAATTGACATTAACAATAAGAAATCTTCAATACAAAATATGAAGTGACAGATTTCAAAGATGTCTGTCATTCGACGTCTGCTACACAAAAATGTAAAGAGAAAATCAGTTTTCTGCTATACATAAAAGGTAAGTTTAACATTTCTATCAGCTTAAATTGCAAAGTCAATAAGTGTTAATACAGTGTTCCTTCAGATCAATCAGGTAAGTGAATCTTGTTATTGTAGAAGTCAACAAATTATGGAGCTATAGGATTTCACAATGTCACTTGGATTTCATTATAAGTTTTGTTGTAAGTACATTTCAGAATAATGCTAGAATGTCAGATCCTTACAATTGATAACTGCTTTGGAAAATATTTAATAAGAAAAAAGGTCTTGCTTGACAGGTGGTCTTTCAAACCCGGTTGTCTTGCCTGTGAGAAAGGTATCTACTCAGTGTTTTATAGAGCCTTATTCTATCCTGAAATCAATTTTGTTGATTAGATTGGTAGTCAAATTTTTATAAAGCAGCAGTGTATCTGCATACTTCACTACATTAAAATACCAGCATAGTATCAGGTTAGGGTTGATAGTTTGATCCTTAGGTGAAGGTAGATTTCTGTGTGACAGTTGATTGTGGACATTTAGTTTAATGTTCCATTGTTTCTTACCTCGTATTTAGAAATCATGTGAGATAATAGTTGCACACTTGTGGAGAAAATGGTGATAACTGGTAAGTGTTCAAGGAAAGCAGGTTAGGTTGACATATCTCCGAAACATCGTACCAAATGTTTTAAAATCAGTATTAGAATTTGAAAAAACATTGTTTTTCAAAATTTGTGGTCGTCCAAAATTACAAAAACTAAAATATTTTTGAAGTGACTACTAAAATTATTTTTTTTGGTATACTGTCTAGTCAGGACATTTAATAAACTTGATGATTGTGATTATTGTTAAGGTTTATTATTTTGACATTTTACACAGGGAAAGAATAGCTAACTTGGAGAAGGCCCTGGAGAAATGTGAGCAAGAAAAATACACATTAGAGTGTAGGATTGAACAAAGACATTTACAGGTATAGTGAAGTTATTCTTCAGGAAATGTTCCTCAAGCTAGCTGGTAATCTTTATCACATTAAAGAATCTCAAGTTCTTGATGGGATTCATGGTAACGGTAGTGAGAGTGAGTTGATTTGAAGATGAAAATTCAAAGATTTGTACTGATTATGATACATTGATATATGCCTCTTTTTCATTATTTCAAGTTTTCTCACTGATTCTTGGACTCTGAAATGTTTTCGAGGCTTTTCTCTCGGCCAAACTAGACTCTTAAATTAAGGTTAAGATGAAATTCAAAGCAGGAAGATGTCTGATTATGTTTGGATGAGAAAATGATAACAAAACACAGATTATTCTACTAAAGTTCCTAATATTATATAGTATTTTTGTCCGTGAAATATAAAGATTACATACTTTTAAGTTAAATTCCCTGTTTTATTGTCATTTGTTACAAAAAGACAGCTACTGATAAAACTGAAACCTAAAATTATTTTACACTGTTATTTTTATGAATTTGTAACAAGTTGTTTTTTTTTCCAGGGTGATTATGATCCAACAAAGTTGAAAGTATTACACTTTAAGATGAATCCTGTTGATCAAGCTATAGAGCTGCGTAAAGAGGAAGTTTCCAAGTTGAAGGCCGAGAATGAAAGATTAAAACAGAGGATCGCAATTTTAGAGGAAAACGAAGGCCGTATAGAAGACCTCACTGTAGCAGTAGAACAAAAATTGAAGGAGCCTGGATCTAGTAAAGATATTGAAGGTAAGAATGTAAAAAATAGTCGAAAAGACACCATAATAGTAAAAGGAGATATTTTGTTTGTTACATTAAAATTTATGTCATGAAGTGAATACTACTTATACTTGAGTATCAGACAGGACTATCTACTTTTTACATCAGTGCTAGAAAAACCTTTTCAAAAACAACTCCTCATGTATGACAAGTCACGTGTTTTAAATGATGTCATTTCCACTCACCTTTAATGAATGAACTTAGGATAACATCATTGTGTTGTTATGAATGAAGTTGTATATTCATACGCTACTACCGGTATGAGAAAAAAATTGCTAAATGAAAATTTTAGTTTTTGTTATTTCTTTTTGAAATGTCATTAAATTGTAATATGCAAGAAAAAGAATCAAACACCAGCTGTCGCCACAGACGGGAATATCTAGCTCTTGGGTACTTGTGCCATCATGATCTGATCACGGTCTTCACTGTTGCTATTTATTCATTACATATGTTGAAATTTTCCCTAAAAATGATAAATAAGTTAGTCCAGATTAAAAGATAAACAATTCCATGTAAGATATTTAGGACAGTAAGGAGTTAACTAAACATCATAGCAAAATTGAAATGAACTGAAAATAGGTAGCTTTTCAATTTTTCGTCCACAGAAATGCGTTCACAGTTGACAACAGCCGAGTTAAAGAATAAACGTTTAATGGAGGCATTTAAGAAGACAAGCCAGGAAGTGCGAGAAGTATGCTATCAGCTGACGGGATATAAAATAGATATACCAACGTCTAACCAGTACAGACTTACCAGCATGTATGCTGAAACTGTCAATGACTTCTTATTGTTTCAGGTAAATCAATTTTGTAACGCAAGTCTGCGGTAAGCTTGATATATTTACTGTAAATGGTGATGTAGTACATGGTTTGTAAAATCATATACATGTATATAAAATCATATAATTTTTAAGTTATTGAGAAGTATAGAGGTTCAATTAGCTGAGAAAAAATGGTTATTGAGAAGGCTATATTGACAGTTTGTGTTAGTTTAAAGCTATATTAAAGTTTCAAAAACTATACAATTACATTTTCAACTTATAGTTATATCTTGAGGGAGTTTAACACAAGAAATTTAACTCGTATAAATGAGATAAGGAAATAAAATAAAACGTTGCCCAGCAAAATTTTCAAATGCTATTTTTAAGAGGTTTATTGAAAATTTTGCTCATGATAACAAAAAAATAATTTTCTGCAAGTTATTGATAGTCTAATAGTAATAAAGCGTTAACCTACTAGAACCAAAAGTGATCAGCCTTTGCCTCCAGTATTGAGCCAGGCAAGCCTGCACACATCCAGGCAGCTCAATTTTTGTATTCTTTTGAATGAAATCCCTTAAAAAATTTAAATGGACTTTTCCAAATTCCAAGCCAGCCAAGTCAATTAAACGTTCTGCAGGTTAAAGGATAAGCTGTGTGTAAAGAGAGCCATTGACAATGCAGATAAGTTTATGGAAGAAACAATATGATATAATTCTTGTGTATTAATTTTTTTTTCAGCAAAACACAAGTGGTACTATAGAGATGCTGGGTAATAGTTTCTCATCAACGATGCAAGATCTCATTGACATGTACCTAATACGTCAAAACAGTATACCAGCATTCCTCAGTGCCGTCACGCTCGACTTGTTTTCACGACAAACCATGAACTTTGGTTGATCGGTGTCATGTTTATGTTAACAGTGAACATAATTGGTGAACATATTCTTGATAAATTGTGAAGTTACTCATATCAAGTGTTGCTGAAGGAAGATGCTACAAGTATATGTTTATGTGAACATATTCATATTCAATTAACTGAACATATTCTCATTATGTGTTTCAGAAGAAGGCTGTTTAAATGTTGATGTGAAACATGATTGGTGAACATGATTGTGTTTATAAAAGGAGCAGGTTATGTAAACATAATTGGTAACATATTTAATTGTGAACATATTAAATGTGTTGATAGACATGAAATTACATTTAAATCAAATTCATGTTGACGTAATTGGTGTACATATTCATTGCAAATGTTCCCAAGGAATAAGTTGACATGTATGTTTATGTGAACATTATTTGTGAAATTAATGAATTTGTTACTAAGAAAGATATTAAGATTGTTTTCTTCAGTTAAATAAAATTAATTTCACATGATGAAATTAAAGCAAACACAGTTGACTTTGAAGAGTTAACATCAAACCTCCCGTGTATAAATGCAAGAGGAATTAGATACACAATTTACACAAAGATTATTAGACTGATCAGAATGGTGATTTGTATTGTACAAGTATTTTTATGCTATAATGAAATGTATATACAACGTATATGTACGATGATATTTACATTTTTGTATTAAAAAATGACAAATCAAGCTGTCTTGTATTTTTTTGAGTAGTTAAACATAATTTTATGTCAGTTTATATGATAAACGATTGAAGCTTATTTGATCCCTTTAGCTGCTTGACCTAGCAAGCTCTATATTACTGGTAGCTAAAGTTTTGTATTTTGATTTTGAAATCTCTAAAACTTTGAATGTATTGTTCGAAATTTAAGCTAAGCAAAATCACTACATGGAACTTTAGCCAAACAGTATATGCTGGCAATTCAAGTAAAGGCAGTTTATCAGAAAGAATACAATTTTTAGCAAAACTCTCCATCTATAAATTCTACACAACTTGGTTTCTTACTGATGTGGGTTAGACTCCTGCCAGGGACTTTGGATTCTTTCATGTGAGGAAGTTATGCAGCTGGCTTACGGAACAAAGATGGTTCCACTAAGCTGTCAACTTGTGCATGAAATTGTGCATAGAGGGGCAAATGAAGTCTTCCGCCACTAGTGAAGTTGTCGTATGACTTTTATATGCGACAACAATGCTACTAAATAAATGATGTAAATAAATAAAAGGAATAACAACTTCATGAACGAGAATACTTTTTTATTTCGGTGGATTTATAAGAAATATGTGCCTAAAATGTTACAGAAACAATAAAGTGTTGTAAAAGTTTTGATTTTTAAGTTTAAAGTAAGACTTTAAATACAACTTACTAAGTTGCTTTGCCAATTTAGTACAAAATTTGTGTTTCAAATCGTCTTATTATACATTATGGAAAGAAAAATTCTAAATCTTTTTAAATCTTACTGAAAATCACAAAACATTTATTTACTTATCGGACATAGATGACTAGAAAAGAGACAAGACCGGAAATTCTAAAAATAGACTGTATAGAGTTTCTAAAATAGCACTAATGCTTGAAAATAAGAAATAGTAGTAATACTGCATATAGAATTCTTTGAAACGAAAATGAAAATTTCAAACAGATTTCTATTAAATAAATTTACCCTCTGATTTCATTCAAGGCTAAAAAAGAAATATAACAAAGAATTGAAGAGAATTTTTGAAATGTTAGGAAATGTTAACAAGACAATTTCATGTGGATTTCTTTTCATACTGATTAGCTGTTAAGCTGTGCACAACAAATTGTTGTTTAAATCAAAACATTAAATTGTGAATGATAAATCTTGAGTTGTAACATTTAATACAAAACTTGCTTCTTTTAATATGGACCGTACATCTTTTTAAAGATTATAAACATTCATATATAGACATGTACCTGACAATGTGTTGAAGGTGAAGATGACCAAGATGAAATAAGCTGGTACTTTGTATTAAGCTACAGTATGTTAATAAATGAGCCATGTCATGACAAAACCAACATAATGGGTGTGTGACCAGCATGGATCCAGACCAGCCTGCGCAAACGCGCAGTCTGATCAGGATCCATGCTGTTCGCTATCAGTTTCTCTACTTGTTATAGGGTCTGTAAGCGAACAGCATGGATCCTGATAAGACTGCGCGGATGCGCAGGCTGGTCTGGATCCATGCTGGTCGCAAACCCATTATGTTGGTTTTGTCATGACACGGCTCAAATGTAGTACTAAAAGTAAAAAAAAGTAAAACTTTAAGCAAAATATGCCAATATACATGTTCACACATCATAAGCTCTTAATTCTCTAATTATTAGTAAGTTTAGTAAGTTCTATTGAGACTTATTTTCATTACCCTTTTTTATTTGAAGCAAATAACATTTAATCTGGTCCAGATTTAAACAACAACTTGTGATGAAACAAAATAGTGATCACAACGTGTCGGAATAACAACATCAACAATAACAACAACAACAATATTACCCTTCCCCACCCCTGTCTTATGATTGCACTGTTGTAGAGTATTCAAATTTCTGTAGTATGTAACTGGAAATGTTTGAAAAAGGACTCAAGACTGAGGGAATTTCTTTTTGAGAAATGCCTTTTGTGTAGTTATCACTTAAATACAAATTTTAAAGTGTCGCATCAATTTCCATGCTGCCATAAAACTGCATATAAAGTCAATTGTATTTATTTCTGAGATATTATTTTTCAGTTGTATAAAATAACTTGTATAGTACCAGTACGAGTGACACTTTCCTTGTACAGTGTTCATGGTGGTGGTCATTATGTCATTTTCATGTATTATGCATTTCTAAGTAAACTCCAACCTAAAATATTAACAATATAAAACAACCTGTGATGTTATTTAATACCTGATTACATATGTCGAGCAAGGTAAAGTTTGCTCTGTCAGTCCAATCTTTATTGAAAAATGTTAACATATTATTTTGATTATTTGATGAAAAACTTATAACTTGGCAAAGAAAATGGTTATACAATTGCTCATAGAAGGATAATTTCAAATTTTGATCTCAAGGTCCTTTTTCAAACAGTGCCAATCATTACTTATATTGCGTATTAACCGATAAATAACAGTGTTTCTGTAAACCCAAATAGGCTTTTGTGACAAAATGAAAAACATTGAACAGTGTTTTTGTCTTCATATGTATCTTTTTAGATTTGAATATCAGAAATTACAAAATGAGGTAAAACAATAGTTGCAAAATGCAGCTTGGATATTTGAACACTATCATTGGTCAATTTCAAATTTAGATTTTTAAATCAACCAATCAAACAACTAGAAATCAACCAATCAAAAAATTAGAAAACTTTTTTTTGGAATGATAGAAAAAAAGCTATAAATCTATAAACATGTAAAAAATAAATTTTCAAACAAAAAAATATACGGTGGAATGTGAAAACATTGTGGTCAAAATGCAATTTCTGTTTTGCATAAACCTGCAATTTGTAAGTAATAATTATTATAACAATAAAATATATAAATTCAACAAATTTTGTAAACAAATAAATAATGAGATTCAAAAATTTCAAAATAAAATGGATTTCGAAGATAAACTCATAGATTATATTATCTATATATATTCAAAACCCTTTTTACATAACAAATGGAAACAAAGAGGGATCTTGACTGCTCAGAAAGTGTAAACATAATAAGAACATCAACCAAAAAGAAATTCCATATATGAACATGAATTGCCAAATATCTATTGGAAATTATAGCCAGTTAAAACTTAAAGCTGTACATTTGTAAGTAAGTTAAAGAAAATATTCAAAAAGTAAAATTTACAAAATATGTAAATTTGTCAATTTTAACTCTTCACAAAACACTTTTAATGAGTCTGAATCAGTCATATTCTAGCCCTTTGCACTAGGCTATTTTTCATATAACTTGAAAAGTTATTTGTGTGGAAAGTATGTCAAGTGCCCTACAACATATTGAATCATTTTACATATACATCTAAATATTTTCATATTTTAGAACAGTTTTTGAATTTTCATTAAAATTAGAATAACTCTGAAGCTATACTGGCTTTAGATAAAAAAAACTGAGTTGTGGCCTTAGAGAAATTATGTCTCAAAGCTTGTAGTTATTTTATATAAATTTCTATACCTCACCCAATCTAATATTCTAAGAGAAAACATTTAGAGATGAAGAAAGTGCAAATCAAACTAAAACTATCATTCTAACAAGGGATAAAAAAAAGTCATGAAATGTGCCGGGAAAATTTATAAAAATTCTGCTGAGAAATTAATTCTGCCTGGGGAGAAACCGAGGAGAAAACATATATATTGACCACAAAGGTTCATACATCTAGATGGGTGTTTCACAATTACATTGAAATTTTGAGGTAAACTTTGTTATGTCATGATGGCAGCTGGCAGAAGATAAAAAACATTATCAGATTTTTATTGATACAGTCTAAGCAAAAATGATATGTATATACCACTTTTTACAAAAAGACTTTTTTTCAAATATATGGAAAATTACCGAGGAATTGGAAGTAAATTAATGTAAAGGATAAATACCACTAAATATTTTCCTTCAACTTCTTCATATAAAACTTACTCTAAAAATAGCACAAAAAATTGCTTCACCAGTTAATCGGACAATTTGGCTGTCAATGACTTTCATATTTCAAATGAGGCAGATATAACCTACACATATATCATAGATGATTAGAATACATAGGACACAAAATCTAAATGAAAAGTAACAATCGTAAATCGAAAAATAATCTTTTCACAGCATTTCTCAGAAAAATGCATTATCACTGTCATTTTGTAAATCAATTTCAAATTTTATAGAGGTAAAATTCATTTCATCAATATATATCTATCAAATTTTTGGCCAATATACAATACATGATTTAATAAAATTAAATTGGTAACAAAGCATAGAAAAAATTCATGAAAGCATGAAAGGTGGGAGTCTTCGTAAGTTAATGTAAAGTAAATAAGTTCACATGCCTTAATACAGTAAACATATATATATGATCTGAACCAACTAATATCCCCGCCCCCTCACCCCCTCCCCAAAATATGTAAAATACATTTGTTTTTAAATTTTAGAAAATAACGGACATTATGCTACAATACAAGGAAAAAATGAATTTTTTCAGAAGGGTAACGAGGCTCACAAAAAATACATCTGAAAACTTCAATGAAATAACTTTTGCCACTTTCTGATGAGTAGCTGCTATAGAATGTTTTATCTGAAAAATGACCTGAATTATTTTTTTTCCCCAAAAAAAATCCTAATAAACTTGCTTTTTCATTAATCTTGTGACAGTCAAATTTACTATTGTTATAAGTATTTTTCAATTTTCATTATTTGTCATTGTATAAAGCTGGCAGTAGGTAAGCTACTCTAGTAGCCTACATATTTGTTGCCTCTGTTCAGCATATTTCTGAGATAATCCCTCACATCATAGTAGTAATCTCTATACTCCGCATCATTCTTCTGAAATAAAAAATATTTAAATCTGAATTCTTATATTTATGTATGAAGGAAAGATCTTACTTAAAAAACAAGCAAATTCGTTGAATTTATATCCCCCGCCGAGTACTGGTTATTATTAACACAACAACTGAAGACATAAGGCTTTATTTATATATTAATCATGGCATAAACTGTAATATTCTTTGAACTTGAAGCCTTGTACCTTCAAACAAGAAGAAGTTTTCACTATATACATATAAGGAAAATCTATGACCCCCTGGAGTGGGGCCAATTTTGACCCCAGGGCTAAAACTTGAACAATTTTGGTAGAGGACCTATAGGTTATATCATATACCAAATATCAAAGCTCTAGGCCTTGTACTTTCAGACAAGATTTTTTAATTTTGCATTTTTGAAACTCCTTTTCTGGCCCTGTGACCTACTTATGCAACAGACCGGAACCATTTGATCAACTTTGGCAGGGGACCACCCTAGGATCATTCCTGTAAAGTTTGGTTGCTGTGCAGTCATTTGTTTCTGAGGAGATGTTGTTTAAAGAAATTGCTGACGACGCACAACGACAGACGGTGGGGGATCACAATAGCTCACCTAGATGTAAAAACATCTTAATCTCCAGACTTCATTGCCATTTTCAAGGCATCAAGAAGGGATCTCACAATTTTCAAATAAGTTGAAAATTGCAAAATTTTACTAAGTCAAGGGCAATAACTCTAAAAATAGTAAAAATATCCGGACGAAAATACCCAGGTGCACAACTTCACATTCTGATCAACATTCCCATAAAGTTTCGTTGAATTCCAGCCATTAGTTGCAGAGAACTACTCCGGAAACGAAATTCGGACGTTTTACTAAGTCAAGGGCAATAACTCTAAAAATACTAAAAATATCCAGACGAAAATACCCAGGTGCACAACTTCACATGCTGATCAACATTCCCATAAAGTTTCGTTGAATTCCAGCCATTAGTTGCAGAGAACTACTCCGGAAACGAAATTTGGACGTTTTACTAAGTCAAGGGCAATAACTCTAAAAATACTAAAAATATCCAGACGAAAATACCCAGGTGCACAACTTCACATGCTGATCAACATTCCCATAAAGTTTCGTTGAATTCCAGCCATAAGTTGCAGAGAACTACTCCGGAAACGAAATTCGGACGTTTTACTAAGTCAAGGGCAATAACTCTAAAAATACTAAAAATATCCAGACGAAAATACCCAGGTGCACAACTTCACATGCTGATCAACATTCCCATAAAGTTTTGTTGAATTCCAGCCATTAGTTGCAGAGAACTACTCCGGAAACGAAATTCGGACGTTTTACTAAGTCAAGGGCAATAACTCTAAAAATACTAAAAATATCCAGACGAAAATACCCAGGTGCACAACTTCACATGCTGATCAACATTCCCATAAAGTTTCGTTGAATTCCAGCCATTAGTTGCAGAGAACTACTCCGGAATCAAAATTCGGACGGACGGATGGACGGACGGACAGACGGACGGACGGAAGGACGGACAACGCCAAAACTATATCCCCCTCCCGATTTCATCGGCGGGGGATAATTACCAAGTAACTGAATTCTCTAGTATAAACAAGTTTTGCCCCCCCCCACCTCTTCCATATGACAGCTGGTAACTTTTTTTACAATCAAAGCAAAAAAAAACTAGTTGGTAATAATTCATCACAGAAAGATTATGAAAGTAAAATTACCATATGTCTGGAAACATATTAGGGTAAAATTTGCTTTGCATTTGTCTCTGTCATCACAATAACTATAAAGTCAATAAACCACTATCCTTATATCAACAAGGTCAATATGAAAGAACTGTTTAAACAGAAATGTTTATAAAACAATATTTATTAAAGAAAACAATGAAAAGCATGTCTATGTTTTGTTGCTTCCAATAAAATTGTATAACATTCTTATGCAATTTTCTTTTATCTAATAATTTTAAAACTCAGCACAACATAATCATACAAACCTTGGCACAGGATGAATCTGTGAAGTCAAAGTCGACAACCTGAGCTTGTTTAGGTTCAACCTGGCGCTTACTAGTGGCATGATCATTGTTCACGTTAACGTTCTTGTCGCATCTCGCTACCTCATCACCGTTCTTGTCTGTAACCACAGCCGAGACTACATACCTGCCATTAGACAGGAGCCGATAGTAATCACCATCTTTACCTATAAAGTAAAACATCAAGAATAGCAATTTTATCAATAAATAAAGTGATTTTATAAAACAAATATTTCTCCTTAAGAAAGAAATATTCATGTTGAATTTTCATGAATTTCGAATATTTCCAATGGTCAATAATACTTTTTTTCGTTGGGTTGGACATTGAACCATCACAGAAGAGATCATATGATGACATTTCAGCTTTACTCGGGGGAGAAAGACCTCAGGTGCCCTTCAGTGCATTATTTTAGGTAAAAATTGGAAATCAAATAACTACATGTAATAATAATATTTGTTTCAAACCTTGAAACATGATTGTCAAAGGAATAAAACAATCCACAAAGAATTGCACTGTTTACTATTCTGTCAGTACCTATTTCGAAATTTTCCCTAAAAATGATGTATGGTCATGTCCAAATTGAAAGACAGACAATTCCATTTTAAATATTTAGTGTGGTAAGACTAACACTAAAATTCCTGACATTAACACTGACTGGATTGTTGACAATTGAAAGCAACTCACTTCCAATACACAAATACAGCAGGCTAGTGGTATATACACTATTTGTCAATAGTATCAATTATGGACTCGCAATTGCTAGCTAAAAGGCTTAAAACAAAAATCTATGCAATTTTATCAACTTTCTAGCCGCAAGGTTTCAGCTCAATTTTTGATACTAAACAGTACCCACGTATAAGAGATTGTGTGCTCTATTGTGTGCATATTATACATGTCACACACCCCTGATGAAGGCATAATACGCCAAAACTACATGGTTATTTATTGATACTTTAGCACTGTATGAACGTTTATTTTCTCCAAATTTATTGTTATTCTGTCTATGTTCTTGTATCCTTCTTGTGATCCAGTGTTTTTCGGAAGGTATTTTGTTGATGTGAACATTTTCAAAAACCTACACTATTAAAATGAGCCGCGTCATGACAAAACCAACATAATGCGTTTGCGACCAGCATGGATCCAGACCAGCCTGCGCATCCGCGCAGTCTGATCAGGATTCATGCTCTTCTCAATCAGTTTCTGTACTTGTAATAGGGTTGGTAAGCGAACAGCATGGATCCTGATCAGACTGCACGGATGTGCAGGCTGGTCTGGATCCATGCTGGTCGCAAATGCGCTATGTTGGTTTTGTTGTGACGCGGCTCATTTGTCAATATCTCCCTGTATATAAAGCTTTCAATAAATCAGAGACATGATAATTATAAGAGGCACTACACTCAATTATCTCCCCACCTAAATTACAGCAATTGAGAAATAGATAATAATATACTTCTGTAAGCTGTAGGAGGTTAATTTATCATTCAGGAAAAGTGGCAGAATAATATGAGATTACTTCTATGAAAGATTAAAGGTAATTGGCTCATGGGAAGAATAATACTTAGCATAGCAGTGCAGTCTGACCAGGCTCTATATTGCTGGTTTGTTTGTTTGTTTGATTGGGTTTTACGTCACATTGACACAATATAGGTCATATCGCGACGTTCCAGCTTTACTGGTGGAGGAAGACCTCAGGTGTCCCTCCGTGCATTATTTCAGACACAAACGATATTGCTGGTTTAAAAGCTAAACTTTATTAAACATTTGCAGTGCCCAAAATAACATTAGACAATCATTTGAACAATTTTGTAAAAGAGGCCCACGAAAGAACTGTCAAATACTAAGTTTAAAATAAATCTAACCAAGTGAATTGTTGATTTATTGTGACTAGTGACTTATGCCAAAGAATAGGTCTGCCACTAAAGGTCATTGAGAGTCTTATGTACTTGTAAGCAGAAAAAACATATGTTATTTTATGGTGGCAAATATTTCTCAGGTTTATTCACTGTATTTCTGACTTACTGGATAACAATTAATACTGAAGTTTTTTCACCTCACATCTGAGTAATTGTGTAATACATAATATTTAAGTTTTTTTCATGACAAAATGTTAATTCTTTTTTCACTATATGACTTACTGGGGGACATATATTTAATTTTTTATTACCATATATTTGACTAACAGGTTAACACATAAAATTTAAGTTTTTTTCATGACATAAACTTTTAATTCATTTTTCACCATATGACTTACTGGGCAACACATAATTATCAATATTTATTTTTTTATTACCACAAATATGACTAACTGGTTAACACACATAATATCTAAGTTTTTTTTTCATCACATAAAGTTTAATTCTTTTTTCACCATATGACTTACTGGGCAACACGTAATTAATAATATCTAATTTTTTATCACCTTATTAATCATCTTATTAATTAGTTTACACATAAAATTCAAGTTTTTTTATGACACAATGTTTGATTTTTATCACCACATATCTGACAAACTGGTTAACAAACAGTATTCAAGAGTTTTTTCATGACATTTCTGACTTACTTGGTATGATATCATGATCAATGTCAGAGTTACTGTCCATGTCTTTCACATGAATATTTGTGTAAGTTTCATCCAGCCAGTTGTCTGGTAGAGTAACTGTGCCCTTTACACCTGTATGTACCTGAAAATATACAATGTCTCCCTCTGTCATAAATCTTGCTATAAATTCATATGGTTATTTTAAATTCTCATACCAAACTGTACTACATTGACTGTATCATCACACCAGCAGAAACATGACTGTGTTGACCTTTAACCTTCTGGAACCGGAAGCGATTAGCCCTTTGCCACCAGTATAGATCCAGGTTAGCCTGAACATCCTTGCAATCTGACCAAGCTCTATACTGTTGATAGCCCAATTTTTTATTTTGACATTAAATCCTCTAAATTTTGAATGAACTGTTTTAAATTCAAATAGAAATCTATGAAACAAATTCAGGAGGTTCAAGGCTAATGGAGTAGGATTTGATACAAAATACACCTTAAACAGACAATGATATATTGTATCCTTATTCAACCTTTGGTTTCTTAAAGCTTTATCTATCCTTTTATTCATGGCAATTTGCTACGTTAGACATGCCATTAAGTAAAGCTTTTGCCATAGAGAAACAGACATTAAAGGTTGAACCACTGTCTATAGTAAACTAAAACTGCTGTCATCCAAGTGCCACCAGAATCAAACAATCTTTTCTTTTAAACCCTGACCACTATAAGAAATACAAAAACATTATACATGTACTATGTATGTTTAGTATTTCATGGCCCCATTCATATCATATTAAACAACCCTAACTTTCATGATTAGCACAATCAAAACATACATTTATATATGTATAACATATAATCTAGTAAAATGCATTTACATACCTGAAACATGAAGTTAAAGAGAGATTCAATGTTATCCAACCACAGTTCCTGTAATTTATCGGCTGCTGGAAATTTGTCACATCCCAGTTCTAATGTAATCTCCATACAGTTTGTACTCAAGTAGTTGTAGTCTTGCATACCTGTAAATTAATAAAATTATAAACAGTGGTTAATCAAATCCCTTAAAACCAATTAATTACAGTTATACATAGTGGTAAATTGTCAGTCTATACACCAAAACATAAACAGTTATACATAGTGGTTAACTGTCTGTCTGTACACGAAAACATATACAGTTATACATGTACATAGTGGTAAAATGCTTGTCTGTACAACAAAACATAAACATTTGTACATATTGATAAAATACCAAACTGTACACCAAAACATGAACAGTTATGCATGGTGGTATGGTGGTAAAATGCCTGTCTTTTAAAACAATGTATTACAGATATACAAAGTGGTAATGGTCATATCTGTAAACCAAATACATAAGGATTATTGCAAGTGGTAAACTGTAGGTTTTTAAACCAATGCAAAATAACTGATATACATAATGGTAAATTGCATGTTTGTTAACAAATGCATTATAGATATATACTGGATTCATAATTCATAAATACATGTATGTAATAACAAATCATATGTACATATATTTATATTCCCTCAAAAAAAAGTAATCACCTCCAGGGACAGAGTACCAGTTTGCGCCATTTGTTATACCATCTTTAAATTCCTTTTCTTTTTCCTCACATTTTGCACCCCCTTTCCCCATTTTACGATGAACATAAGAGTAGCTTTTGGCAAGGTCCCTGAAAATACAATGGATCAATTTTACAAAATATAATAACATTTCTTATCTTTTATCTCCTTTTTCTCCTGCCATACTTGCCACGGTACATGAGCAATTTCATATTACAGGAACTGAACATAAACCCATTATACAATAATTCTCACTGAAAATTGCAATGTCCACTGATGCAATCATAGTTAGACCATTATTAAATTGATTACTTGACGCATTAAATCAGTAATTAAAACTATATATATAGCATTTTCTACAATCAAAATGGCTGCAAAAATCTGAACTAATGTGATCCAAAGCCATGTTAAAGTTATGCAATGGGTGTTTCAAACCGGAAATTCAAGCAACAATCAATACCATGAACCTTCACAGATCGCTAAGCTTTATTTTCCTCACTGCTTTGATGGTAAAACAAGAGCTATTCTTGATTTACATAAGTTTACAAAGGGGCACAATCCACTACAAATCCATGCTATTTTTATGGCTAATCTACATTTGTCATCCCAAGAAATTTCAAGCGGATATCTTGTGTTGTAAATAAGAAATGAAGTTGCCTGAAAAAAAATAACCAAAGTGTCACCTCAATGCTTATACCACCAATGGCACAAAAGTAAGAAGGTTAGTCCCACTGCCCTAATCTTACCATAGTCAAACTAATAAAATAAAATTTACCTGAAAGTCTTGTCATCCGGACTGGCAGTGTACTTATGTGCCGACCCGTCCAGTGTCTCGTCAAATGGGTAATTAGCAACAAGGTCTCCATTATGCATGTTTGCTGACAGCACAAAATCTACTGTGTGAAGCCATGACATTAAAATTTTGGTCTCGCGTTCAAATTTGACACTTGCGTTAGCCTGAAATTCAGAAACTTTTCTTGACTTCTTTATTATTCACATACAAAAGTTAAAGGTATAAAAAGAGGTTAATGGCATTTTAAAACTTTATTTCAGAGTAGATAATTCTAAAATCATATAATCATAATAGAAATAAATATATCGGCCTGATGGAAGTCACATTGCTATGTTATGACAATTTTATTGTTTTCTGTTATTTGAAGTTAAGTTCTCTAGTGCCAGCATGACAGTAAATCACTCAGAATAATTATTACATGTAGTTCAGAACGTTCCCCTTGATTGTAAATAAGTGAAAAGAAGAAAAATGTGTGGCGGCGTGGCAGAGTGGTATACGCGTCAACTAGTAATCTAAGGATTGACGACTGCATGCGTTCAAACCTTGTCAGGGGCAAGCTGTTGTTTCCTTGAGCAAGAAACTTTACATTCATTGCTTAGTACTGGTTGGTTCCAGGAACAGATTCAAGAGTGTTTCAATAAGCTTATAGCTTCCAACACAATCAAACTTAAATAAATTTGTATAAACTAAAATGAAGTGTCCAATAATGAAAAATTAATAAGTGAAAAATCTTACTAAATGGAATGAACTTATAATTAAGCTAAAACTTCAGAAGTCAATGTCATTATTATAAAGTCACTCTGATTCCAAAAACCATGTTATGAAAGAGACTTTGCAGTTTTTATTTTCAGTCCTACCTGCTCAAGTAGTTGCATTACTTCAAAATGTTGATCAATGTGGTTGTTTGGATGATTTGGCTGGTTGTGAATTTTGTAGTAGATCTTATTCAAGTCGGGGAAATTGCGGTTTAAGTCTACACCGTTAGCATTGGCTCGTCCGGCTAACCAGTTACTGACTCCATTCTGGTACCCATCTGCATCTGATGTCTAAAAATAGAAATAAAAATATTTCTACATAAAGTGCATAAAGCTATATCTATGCTGCCTGCAGTTTACAAATTATTTTCTTAGAATTTTGACAAGAGTAATACAAAAATTTATGCCTGTATGAAAGAAATATGTATATCTCCTAATAAAAGCAAACTGCACATGTACAAAATCATTGATGAGAGGTTAAAACCATCCTTAAAATAGCAGCACAATATTTTGTTCCGGAACATTTTATTCTATTTACGTACTGTATCCATGTGTGATAAATAGCAGAAACATTCAATATTAACTCTTCTGAGAATCTATTTTAAGATTATAGAAACAACTTAGTTTTATGGTTTTCGATTTAATCAACATATTTCATAAGATATAGCCTTATACACTTTAAAGCAAAGACTTTATATACAAATGTCTAATATTTTAAACCTCACATGACATTAAATACAATGCCTATCATTTTTAATTGGAAGTTCTTTTTATAATGACATACATGTACAATAACTATCATAAAAAGTATTTAAGTAATAAAGGGACTAAATACAAATTATTCTATTTGCATCTGAAGGACTCTGTAAGCTACAAGTAAAATTCTCAGAATCTCTAATTTATATTTTTTATTTTAACTCAAGTGATGGCATTTAACTTTGCCAGGGAGCCATGAAATCCTGAGGGTCATTTTTACTAAGTTTTACCGACTACAAGGCCAAATCCCCATGATTTTAACAAAATTTGACCCTCCAGTTAAAATCCTGAGGGTCAAATCAGGCCTTTTGGAAATTTTAAGGGTCAAAGAGTCCTTTCAAGGGTCAAACGGACACTTTGATTGCAGAAAATTATTTAAGAATATCAATAACCTCCCCTTTGATATATTGTCACATTATCGAAATTTATCGCAAGTGAACAAGTATACCAAGTTTAAGGTGGAATGCTTCGATAGTTTTCTGAGAACGAAAAGGTGAACCAACGTAGACCAGAGTATCATCATATCAGCTACACTTTCATTCTTCGAAAAGTAGAGCTAGACAAGAGCTGTTGGTAGGGACAGCATGTTCAACTTTTTTCAGTGTTTGATAGTAAAACAAGAGCCTGGATAATGTAAGAAGAAACAAAGAGGAAGATTTTATTTACAAAAATACGAATAATGTTCATGACATAGTCATGAGTCTTGGAGATTGACCAAAGATATTTATTAAGTTCCCCAAGGGCCTTTTTCCATTATTCCATTCAAAATCCATACCAGAGTTATAGAAGTATAGTCTGTAACTATACTCTGAATAGTTGAGCTAAAAACTAACTTTTTTAAACTCATCCACACTAGACAACCTTTACTTGATAAACTTTTACCTGAATCTTTTAAAAGATTCAATTAAAAAGTCACCAAGAATAATCCTCTACACAACAAAACAAATCTATTAGGAAATTAATAAGCTTTATATCAATTTATAAGGCCATAGTCGCTTTTCTAATTAAGAAAATTACGCACCTAATTTAATCAATCAGCTAATAATATAGCCATTAATCCATATTCTAGACTATGACAAAGCAAAAAGTCTGAGGTCAATAACATTCCAGGCATTTGCATGGTCCAAATTTTAGATAGCAAGTCAGATATTAACCCTTTAAGTGCAATATAAATAGAGCTCTATTCTGAGGGATTTCCTAAGGATTGTTTTTACTGAATCCCCTAAAACTTACAATTGACTGCTCCAAATTTAAAGCAGGACATGTCCATTACAGTTATTCCACAGGGATAATTACTAAGTTTCTATAAATATCAGAACACAATGAAAACTCAACTGGCTTGAGTCGCAGACAATGTATATGTATTGTAACGCTGGCCTCAGAGAAAATTCTGCGTATTTGGGCAAATTAAAAAGTGAAAAACAAAACAAAAATTCTAAACACACAATGACGTTTCTGGGCAAACCTCAGGTTATTTTAACAAAAATTTTCAATGAGGTTATCATGATCAGAAATTTCGATTATTTTTGATGCCACAAAGCATACATGAAAACCAATTCTTAACTTAACATTCATTTACATTGTACATGTACCTAACAGTCTTGAATATGAATGCTTTAAAGCTGTTTTCCTTCAGTGTATATATTTAGTTAATGTTGAAAAAAAAAATTCTCTAGGAAAATCAAATTTTACAGTTGGCATTTTATTTACAGTCATATAAATTAAAAATAAATATGTTGCAAATTCTTTCAAAACTTTGGATTTTAAATTCAAGATTAAATTATTTACTTACAGAAGCAATCTCCCAGCCATCAGGATTCATGGTGGGCATGATGTGTATACGGGTGTTTTCAATGAGCCAATTTATATGTCTGTCATCATCTTTCTGCTGTATATATGCAGTGCACATGTAGTCCATCAGTCTTAGTAGTAGCTCTCTTCCCACAACTTCATTTCCATGCATGTTACCAATATATTTAAACTCTGGAATACCTACAATAAATAATTATATATGAAAATATTGAATTTCAACATTTTAATTTGAAAAAATTATAAAAGAATCATTAAAGAGTTTAGTAACATGCCATGATAGTTTCGTAAGACAGTGCAACCTAAATTTATGGGCATAAATAATATATTTGCACTTTGGAATATCTATTTTGTTTCAACAGAATTGCTCTTACAGTCAAGATAGAAAACCAGTTGCAATTTGTACAGGTCGTACAAAATACATGTATTTAACCAAAATTATACAAATGGGCATAACTCCAAAAATATTGCTTTTAGAATTATGCCCCTTGTCCTACAACTGCACCTTGTCATGATAAGCAAGAATTCCAAGTTTTATGCTGATGACTTGAAATGTTTGACTAACGGACTACATTATCATTATTATTAAAGTTTTTGAAAAACAACATTGAACAACGTCATCACCACAGGGATTATATCAGCTTGACTTTTTTTAAACAGATGAGCCATAAATGGGTATAAGCTTGTAAAAATCAATGACAGAGTTACAAACGTGTGCCTGCAAGTGTAAGTAATGGTCATTGCTTAAAAACAAGGGTTTGGCAAAAAAAGTAAAGTAGTACACTTAAATTCTGAGACAAAAAGGGACAATATCTGTAATAGGGTAATACCACCTGACCTAGAAAGGGAAGTGATGGTTAAAAATAATAAAGAGTAATTACTTTTAAGTAAAATTGAGGTTACATTAAAATGAAGTTATTTTACAAATGAAAAATGCATTGATCAGACTTAATTTTAATTTGTACATGTTTTTCTTTTTAAGAATGAAAAACATGTTAATATAATTGTAAATTTATGGAAAGTGTCAAATCTGATTCAAGATTTCAAATTCATCCAACCAAACATTATCAATGCATAGTTATTCATGCATATGATTTTTCCTGAAATGTGAAAAAAAGTTAATATTTTGTATAAGGATGGAAAAAACACAAGATGTTTGATAAAGAGGAATATTTTTCGCTATTTCCAGAAGTTTCTTCAGATCTCTAGTCTTAATGGACTTTGTTCTTGGCAGGACTCAGGGCTCACACTGGCTCAAATAAAATAATAGCCAATATTTTTAAATTCAAATAATAATAGCCAAAAGTTCAGCGGACTATTCACGATTTAGCGATTAACAACATAAGCAGTTGATTAAATAAACATTACATATAAACCTTTTTCAGTTTTATAAGGATTCTCAAATAAACTGATACATTTGTGTATATATTGATAACTACCTTTTTTTTCAATAGAACCACAACTTAAATTGTTATTATAGAACAGAATAAAAATGTTATATAGTATAATTACTGTATATCAATAATATTAAAGATTCATTATTAATTTACATAATGCTATTATCAGACAATTTCTTTTGTTTGTTCTTATCAAATTTTGTCAGCTATAACTCCTGTCAATTTCCACATTTCACACAGAACTGGAGTAAATCTAGGTCATATTAGCCTATAAAAATAACACTTGCAAACTCATTCACAAAATGCAGCCTTTTTTCTGAATAACTTACTGAAAAATGTCATCATCACCAATGTAATACAAATTTTCTGCCATAATAGTAAATATTTTTAAACTGAACATAGCTTATTTTCACCTTTAAATAAATATCAATATTACCGGTGTCGCGAAAATATGTGACAATCGGATTTTTTCTGTTTTCTGAAAAAATACTCACAATTTTGGTTGTTGTGCAAATAGTTGTTTGGAAGTTAATACTTTTTAAATATTTTATCATTGTTTTCCACTGGCTATTTAGTCAAGTAGCTTAAAACAAAAAAAAAATCAAAATTTGCTATTAATACTGCAATTTACGGTAAATTTTGGGTTAATCAATATCCAGTTTATCAATTTTAAGACGATCTTTTTGGCTAATTGATGGATATTTGATGGCTATTATCATGCTGGACAATATCTTTAAAGTACTTATACAATTTTACATCTCGCATGTATTTTTATCACCTCGGGCAATATGGTAAGCAGCACGTGACCGATAAAAATTTGACACTCGATTAAATCCACCCCGCTGGTGTTAATTGGGTCTACTGCATTCTTTATCGATTTTTACACCTTAAATAAACACTGTTGGAAGTAAAAAATAATCGCCAGATTTTGTAGCCAAAATGCAAAAATAATCGCCAATCTTATAAAATAATCGCAAATGGCGACTATGGCGACCGACAGCGTGAGCCCTGGGACTGGTGTTGTTGGTGTTATTTTGTATTTCAATAATATTGATGCAGTAGAACTAGAATTTAGATGTACAAGAATCTATTCATACTCATACTCATAGTAAACAGGGGTTCTGCTAGCCATCGAATCCTGAGGGTCACTTTGATCAGTATGGACTAAGTTTTGCCAATTACGTGGCCAAATCCCCAAGATTTTAACAAAATTTGACCCTCCGGATCAAATCAGGCCTTTAGGAAATTTGAAGGGTCAAAGAGTCATTTCAAAGGTGAAATGGACACCCTGTACATAACACCAGAGGGGTCTAATCCAGAGATTGACCTTTTCAAAAACCTAGGCTGAGCGAGTAATGGTATAACTGTACATTATGGATTTTATAGCTCTGGGAAATTACACCTAATGAAGTACACAGAATTATTACGTGATATTTCTACTTTATCATTATTTATATGTGGAAAAACTTTATGTCTTAGAAGAAAATTAACCATGTTCCTTTACTGTAACATTTACCTTACTCAAATAGTATAAAAATTAATAATGTAAATCTATAAATTATATAGTAGTTGTAATAGCACCTACAACAATAAATAGTGACATTTATGCCTAAACGTGTGTATTTACCAGGCTGGTTAAAATCATAAAATGTCTGATTGGGCTATAATCACATAAAATTCATTTTTCTAGAAAAATAATTAATATGTTTCTTTCAAACTTATTTTGTTTATTAAGCATTATATATGATACAAATCAAAATAAAAAAAATGGTTGCATTTTATTTCCTTAGAATTATTTCCCCTTTTCCCATTTTCAGGAAACAAAATATTTGAAGTTCATAAAAATTATGTTATAATGTAAAATTCTTAACAGAAATGTGTCAAACAACTCTATTTTGCTCTAGAATATTGTGCCAGTATCATTATTCTATAGATTTGGATTTAATATTCTGTTTTTGGCATATATATTTTAACAATTCTTTGACACTGAACATTATAATTTGAAGTTTTCTCTGAAACTGAATAAAATGTATTTTGACAGGTGTTGATCATAAAGAAGTTACATGTATTTAACCTTTTTTGTTTTATACTTTGCTTTGGTAACATATTTAAGGACTTTAAAAATCATGTGTTATGAAAACATGAAAAAGGGGAAATAATTCCTACAAAAAATACAAAAGTGACAGTAACCAAATAATTTTCTTTCTGTCTATGTCATATATATTGCTCAATATAAAAACTAACAAAGTTTTAAAGAAATATCTTTTTATTACATGCTTTTCGGTGGTTTATAGAAATATATCAGTGATATAAAACTGGTAATTTCACTGTTTGAAACAGTGAAATTACCACTTTGATAATTTCACTGTTTTGAATTTAAGCCCCTTTCGTTGTTTCACTGAAATACAAGCGTGCACAGTACTGGGTACCAACTTAATGACGTGACGTCGTAAATGACGTCACGTTGTATTATTATTTGGCGCGCTTTTCATTCAGTATTATATTTAATGTCTTTTTAAAACGTTTAATTGCATGTAATAAAAAGAAAATTTGTTTAATTTAGTGTAAGATCGAAATATATTTCACCTTGTGAACACCAAATGTTCATATTTCACTCGTGGCTGCGCCACTCGTGAAATATACCTTTTGGTGCTCACTCGGTGAAATATATTCCGATCTTACACTGAACTAAACAAATATCCTCTATATCATTTTTATAGATATATGATCTTTGATGTCTTAAGAAGTTAAGTTCGATCGGGCATTTTAACCAGCCTGTTTACATTATTTTTTTTGTATGATTATTTGTACACTGATAAAGATCTTAAATAATTGTTTAACTAATGATTTATTTTCATGTTAATCTTAAATTTTTATTTTCTATTGAAAATTAAGTTTGACAAAATGAATGAATTGCATATATATAGACTAGTCCTATAAATATGACGTGGCTTTGAGATATTTTTGCTTCTGGGCAAAGCAACGTCATATCGAAATTGCTCAAAAACCCATAGCATGTTCCGCCAGAAAATCGGGCGGAACGAAAAACAATGAAGACAGCGTGTATTTACATAATTTTTGACCTATTTATGAACAAAACTAAAAAATAAATACCTTTTGTCAAAATAATTAAACTGTCACATCCGAAAAATCATGATTAAATCCTCTAATGTATTTCAATTCCTTTTACAGCCGATAAACAAATGGCGGCCGTAAAGTGCGCGAAATCTGATTGGCTAATTCAAATGCAAGCGTTTAACTGAGTCAGAACAATCTAACGGATTATTTTTTTAACGAAATAATTGCCCATGCACCGTCAGTGTGTTCGAATATATTTTTCCGTTCAAAAATTTGGAATCAATCTGTAAAGCACCTTGCTTAACCAGTATGGCTGATAGACAAAAATAGATTGATGTTTATATTTTATTTTAAATTGATAAGTACATCGTTTGAAAGTTTTTGTGTATGATTGAGCATGAAATTGAAAGAAAATATGATAAGCTTTTGAATAAAGCTTGAAAGGCAAGACAATAGACATTTTTGGAATTTTTTATGATGCTATGCGTTTTTGAGCAATAACTATTAGACGTCAGGCTTGACCGACAAAAACTATAACAAGCCTGTAACGTCTAATATATTGGACTAATATATAGACTATTTCTAAACAATAACTGCTTTCCTATTTTGGACTTAGATTCCTTTCATTTAAATCACTTTAATAATAATAGACAGATAAATTACCTTTTACATGTGTTCCTGGCTGCTTGGCAAATTCAATTACCCACAGCTTGTTGTTATTGACTGTTGTTTTCGGGACATTTTCGTGTTCTTTTTCGGGCAAACTATATAACCTCGTAATTTCTGGACATCTTTCATTGACAGCAACCATTATATCTTTCAATTCTTTATTGTCATGATGCTTGTTCCAGTCAAACTCATGACTATCCTCAGTTGTGCTTCCATGAAATGACGCGAAAAACAAAGGTAAAATCGCCAGAAATATCTTTACGTTCGCCATTTCTCTAAATTCTTATTTCAAACAAATTTAATCCCCAGACCCACTTCCAAAGCACGTTCAAACAGAAGAAATCAAACAAAATCTGCTAGAGTATTGCTGTCTTCATTTCTCAATCAATTTGTTTAGGATTGACGTCATAAAACTGAAGGAATCGATACTCTTCACGGGATAAGTCATTGGTTGGACTAGAAATATACTCTATAGTTATTTCTTTAACGAATGAGTAATATTACGGTACGGTGTGAACAAATTCAAAGTATATAATCAACTATAATTGTTATTAATAGATACGTCGATAAGATGGTGATAAATTACATTTGTTTCAATACTAGCATAAAACTACCGGATAGTCCCTTGAACGCGAATAAATTAAAGCAGTCGCTACTTCTCGGCTATTTCCGTAATTGTTTACTTCAACGATTCGTCCCACTCATGATTCGCCTATTATTGTAACACTTTGCATTACATTGACAATCATTATAATTATTGATTTTATATCATTACTTCATTTTGAAAATGTTCGTGTTTGAGACGCTTTGATTATTCTTTGCATGCATGAAAAAAAGTTTGACATTAAAGAAACAAACAAGCGCGCGCACACGCACGCACATGCGCACGTGCACATCCAAAACACCAATATTTATTCAAATATTCGCATCTGGAGCTGTGAGAGCATCCATGTTTTTATCGGTATTGATTGGTTAATCGAACGTTTGAGTCAGCGATGATTTTCTATAATAAAACATTTACAGTGTGCCAAAATGACAGTTCATATTCATATTATTATAAATGGGAAAAAAACTTTTATGTTGAATAAGAGTTTGGCATATAACTGTCAAAATGTATATGGACAGCATAATTCCAGTTTAAAATGTCAAGTTACTGATCCCGCGTCACGAATTCCCGTGTCATTATGGTAACATGTCATAAAATAACTCTCTGTTCGAGAGGTCTGTATCATTCTAAGATGATTTTACAGATAAACGTGACAGAAAATCTCTATTTGAATTGAACAAACATCATTATTGTCTTTTGGCACAAAAAATAAATCATGTAGTTTTGTATGATATGATCCGTTCAAATGAAACACATCTAGCTGCTATATTTTGTGTGGTAAACTCCAGATATAAGTATAGATTAAATCATTTTAAACATTTTTGCTTGAGCATGACACAGGTGTTAATGAGATATAAATAAATCGCATCTCGAATGAAAATATAGTTATATTTAAGAAGGTTTTAAAAGAGATAACAACAAATGTCAAAACGCAGTGAACCATTCTAATATATTTCTACGAGAACCTTTTAAACAGACATTTAAAATAAGCATAAGATTAAATAATACTGTATTATTTGAAATGAAAATGGAATAAACAAAACATTCTTTGCTACGAACTCTTTGAAAACGGTAGACATAAAACATTGTCATGATTGATGCAATTATATATACGCGATATCTTTATTTTATCAGCAATATTTTTATTGTATCAGTAATATCTGTATTTTATACACTATATCTTTATTTGATCAGAAATACCTTTTTTGTATCAGCAATACATTTATTGTATCAACAGTACCTTTATTGTATCATAAATACCTTTATTGTATCATTAATACCTTTATTGTATCATCAATACCTTTAGTGTATCAGCAATATAGTTATGTTATCAGCAATATATTTATTTTATCAGTAATATCTTTGTTTTAACAGCAATATTTTTGTTTTAACAGCAATATCTCTATTTAATCAGCAATATCTTTATTTTATCCGCAATATATTTTTATCACCAATATCTTTATCTAATCCGCAATATCTCTATTTTATCAGCAATATCTTTATTTTATCAGCAATATTTTTTTATTGTATCAGCAATATCTTTATCAGAAATACCTTTATTGTATCAGCAGTACCTTTATTGTATCAACAGTACCTTTATTGTATCAACAATACCTTTATTGTATCAGCAATATCTTTATTTTATCAGCAATTCCTTTATTGTATCAGCAATTCCTTTATTTTATCAGCAATATCTTCATTTTATCAGCAATGTCTTTATTGTATCAACAATATCTTCATTTTATCAGCAATACCTTTATTGTATCAGCAATTCCTTTATTTTATCAGCAATATCTTCATTTTATCAGCGATATCTTTATTTTATCAGCAATATCTTTATTGTATCAGCAATATCTTCATTGTATCAGCACCACCTTCATTGTATCAGCAACACCTTTATTTTATCAGCAATTTTATCTTTATTTTATCAGCAATATCTTTATTTTATCAGCAATACATTTATTGTATCAGCAATACCTTTATTGTATCATCAGCAATGTCTTTACTGTATCAGCAATATCTTTATTGTATCAGCAATATCTTTATTGTATCAGCAATATCTTTATTGTATCAGCAATATCTTTACTGTATCAGCAATATCTTTATTGTATCAGCAATATCTTTATTGTACCAGCAATACCTTTATTGTATCATCAGCAATATCTTTATTGTATCAGCAATATCTTTATTGTATCAGCAATATCTTTATTGTATCAGCAATATCTTTATTGTATCAGCAATATCTTTATTGTATCAGCCATATCTTTATTGTATCAGCAATATCTTTTCTGTATCAGCAATATCTTATTGTATCAGCAATACATTTATTGTATCAGCAATACCTTTATTGTATCAGCAATACCTTTATTGTATCACCAGCAATGTCTTTACTGTATCAGCAATATCTTTATTGTATCAGCAATATCTTTATTGTATCAGCAATATCTTTATTGTATCAGCAATATCTTTACTGTATCAGCAATATCTTTATTGTATCAGCAATATCTTTATTGTATCAGCAATGTCTTTACTGTATCAGCAATATCTTTATTGTATCAGCAATGTCTTTATTGTATCAGCAATATCTTTATTGTATCAGCAATGTCTTTACTGTATCAGCAATATCTTTATTGTATCAGCAATATCTTTATTGTATCAGCAATATCTTTACTGAATCAGCAATATCTTTATTGTATCAGCAATATCTTTACTGTATCAGCAATATCTTTATTGTATCAGCAATATTTTTATTGCATTAGCAATATCTATGACAAATATATTAATAACAAATGTATATATTTAAGTGACATATACTTAAAACAAAATTAACATATAGAGCAATACAGGTAAAATCTTCATCACGTGACAGATCTTGAATTTATTGCTGTTTATTGAGAGTATTGTATTGACAATGGTTTATACTGGCAACTAGTCTTATGAACGGCAAATTATGTCACTTTCATCTGCATACATGCTGATTTTGCTGAAATCTTTGCTGAAATCTTTGCTGAAATCTGTGATAGCCTGAGCCTCTGAGTGATCATGATTTTCTGTCAGAATGTTAACCACTTTCAGAGTGTTTCTATCATCATCGGCAGCCACGAAAATCCATTTCTATATACAACGGCAGCATTTCCTCCTCGACCGGGCTAGTTTGACGCCTGGGATAACACGAAAACAATTTATGAAATGGGTAAACGAGTCCAAAATTACCTGGCTGTATACCTAGTCAATTGACAAAAAGTTTGTAACAATGAATTTGTCCTTATTTGCATAATGTAAAAATGCAGCAATGTGTCATTACTGGCGCCAGTTATACGGTGTGGGTTTTGAGTTTTTTTATTCAACCCCCTCCACCCACCACCATCCCCCCCCCCCACGATTTGCCCCTGGTCGGTCTTGAACCAACACGGCCAGCAATCCTTAGATTACTTGTCCGACGTGTTTAAACAAAAGGTATTGTGACATTTGTATTGCTGGAACCAAAATGAATTAACCAGTATACAGCTAAGCCAAGTTAAACAGCCGTGCAGTCTGATAATTCTTTGTTCTGTTGGCTTACTTAGAATTTCTATTTGATAATGTGCAGTTCCGATGGAAGCTTGTAAAGAAAAGTCCAAGTCACAAAAACAGTATGTAAGGATTAGGCTTGCAAATCTGTACAGTCTTACCAGTGTCAGCATGTTTAATCTATTTTTTGCTGCCCATCATTACAAGAAGGATAAGTCGAATACAAAGTCACTTAAGGTATTAAACGCGAAATTTGGCAAAAATGCCCCCAGGTGAATAATTGCAAACTAAAGGTAATAAATATCATACAAAACGTTTTGGAAACGTTCGTGTATTGTAGACATGAAATACCTCTATTTTATGTGTTGTACAAAAATGAAAAGTTGTAAAAAACTGTCAACATAAAATTTTGCTAAAAATTATATACTATTTTTTTTCTTCAAAATTTCAAAGCGGACTAAAAGGACGAAAACTGAAACCCGCTTGGTCTGCGTTATTCTAGTTGTATATAAACTAATTCAAGACATGTTAATAGCAAAAATTAGCCTTCTTATATCAGTAAGGTAACGGCATATTTTTAAAGTCTGCCTTTTGTAAAGGGGCGGACGAGTGTTTGTCCCTTTCTCATATGAGAAGGGGACTCCTATGATGCGTGTATGTGGTCGCACGTTCGAAAATTAATATTTAACAAAATAACGTGTTCTGTTACGGAAGCATTCTTGTGCCAAATATTAATGTTCTATTAAAAAAGAAGTTCGTGATAGTAGTTTGTTACTGTTACCACTAAATAGGAGAAATGAACTACCTAATTAGAATTTTGTAACTCCCAGCTACAACTAATTAAGATTTACAACAGCTTATTAGGAGAAACAAGCCTAATTGCGATCTTGTAACTCTTAATAAGAAGTTATGGAAGCCAAATTAGGAGAAATAAAGATATTTGATTAGGATTTTGTATATCTTAATTAGAGAATGAAAAATAAAGTTTTAATAAGAACTATATTAGCCCTTATAAGGACTTCCTACTGTAGATACATGTAGGTATCACATGACTATGTATATCTAAATTTGGCGCTTGAAAGGCCTAATTAGAAGAAATGTATAATATTAATTTCAACTTTTTAAGTCCTAATTAGTCGTTTTATACAGAAGCGAAATTTTACTTCTCCTATTTTTATGACATGCAATCATAGCTAGAAAATTAAAATCCTGAGTCTATAGTTTCTTCTACTACGGCTTTTTAAACTTCTTAATGAGAGTAACAAAGTTCTAATTAGGTTTTTGTTTCTTCTAATTAGGAATATGAAGATC